TCAATGTACATTAAAAAATTAATCCTTTTAAACCCCTATAGAACGAGACTCGAATTTAAACCTCCAAAGCCTAAAAAATTTCAATATTCAAAGACGCAGATGTTAAATTTTGTCACAGATATTAATTATTAAAAATTATATTAAAATTTTAAGAAGATATAAATTTAGGTGAACTACGTATTTAATACTTAAACTATCAGTTCTGATCCGTTTTAGTACCTAAACTTTCATTTTTTTTTAAAAAAACCATACCTAATATTTAGTTTTTGTTTCATTTTAGTATCATGCCGTTAAAAAATTAACGCGTTTAATATCTAAACTATCAGCTTTGGTCCATTTTAGTACCTAAATTTTCAAAAATTGGCTTTAAATTTTGAACAGTGGCACTAAAATGAAATAAAAACTAAACTTTAGGTATGATTTTCAAAAAAAAAAAGTTTAGGTACTAAAGCGGATCAAAACTAATATTTTAGATACTAAATGCGTAATTTACCCTACAATTTTTAACAAATTCGATTGCCCTAACGCCCTTAATCTATCTATGTATATGTCAAAGAAACCTTAACTTCCAATGATTAAAGATGACTTCAAGCTAAAACTAAAATTATAAAAAAACATGTTTTTTTTACAATTAATTTTCTAGTCAAACAAGATAAGCTGTTCCAATACGTTAAAGCTACAACACACTTACCAAGATTAAGAAATTAAATCCAAAAAACAAAATAAAACCAAACATGATTAGTTTTTGTAATAACCAGTGTAGGCATGCTGTCATCATTGTACGATCTTAATTAATCCTCATTAATATGTTAATCTAAAAAAAGATTTAGATATCTAAGTGAGGATAAGTCTATCCCGCACGTCTCATACAGTAACACACTATTAAAGCGACGTACCGAAATGCACCACTAATTAAATTGACTTTATTAAGTAAATATTAAAAGGGTAAATTATATATTTTGTACCTAAATTATTACTTATATTTCATTTTAGTATCTAAATTTTAATTTTTTTTAAAATCATTAACATGCTTTTGTGGCATGACATGTCCATTTTTTATTTTTTAATTACTAGATTACCATTTTTTTATTTGTTGATATTTTTAATTAATTTTATTTAACTAATTAGGTGGTGACATGTGTCACCACCTATGAGGATAAAAAGTTATAATCATCCGTATTCCTAGTATGAATTGAACTTAGGTCAATTACATAAGAAACGATCACTCAACCTTTGAGCTAAGACAAAAATCAATATTTTTCGACGATTATAAGATTCAAATATGAGAACTTTAAATGAAAGCTTATTTACTCAACTATAGTTTGATTTTTTATTATTATACTAAACTTAATACTTATATCATTATTAATTAAAAGACTAATTTTTCATTTTATTTAATATAAAAGTTAATTAAATAATGTATATATTTTTATGAAATTATATGAAATAATTATAAAAAGCTATATTTGTAATATTAAAAAATATTTATTTAATTTTTAAAATAAAAAATATTTATTTATTTGAAATAATATTATTTTTAAATTATCTATTTAACTATAAATAATTTTAAATTTAGGATAAATTATATGTTTAGTATTCAATTATCACTTTGGTTATGTATAATATTATTTAAAATCTAAATAGATAATTTAAAAATAATAATATTTCAAATAATTAATTAATATTATTTCAAAGAAATAATATAATTTTAAAAATTAAACAAATATTTTACACTGCTTTCATAATATTATAAATATGCATTTCAAAATAATTTAATATAAATTTTATAAATATATATAAATAATTATTTAGCTATTTTTATTTTCAAATAAAGTAAAAATTATTCTTTAATTCAATAATGAAATAAGTAAGTATTAAGTTTGATATAATAAAAATAGATTCACATTATAGTTGAATGACTAAACGTTTGATCATTAATTTAAAGTGTCACATATTCGAATTTTATAATCACAAAAAATATTGATTTTGTGATGATACTGTTATATAAGTTAAATATGAAATATGACAAATTTAACTTGAATTACTAGTTTAACTCAATGGTTGAGTGCCTTGTATTTCATGTAAGAGGCCTAGGTTTAATTTATGCTAAGAGCAAGAATACATTCTTTTATTTTATCCCATAGTTGGTGACACGATTCCCTATTTAATTGGTTGGCTAAAATTAATTAAAAAATGCTGACGGAGAAATAGAAAGATGACATGGAAATAAAAAAAATTGACATGTCATGCCACATCAGTATTGTTGTTAATGATTGTGAAAAGAAATAAAGTTTAGGTACTAAAACAAAATAAAAATGATAGTGTAAGTACTCAACGTATAATTTACCCTTTTAATAATTACTTAAGAATAAATTAATTAGTGGTGCGTTGTGGTATGTCGCTTTAATAGCGTGTTGCGGTGTGCAACGTGAGCTGTAGAATTTTCCATTAAGTAGATGGTTTAGGGTTTTAATACTATTTTATTACAGAGATGTTAACTTGTAAGATTTATTTTATTGGCTACTAATCTTCTTTGTGGTCCTTAATTAATCACCCACAATAAATTAGACAAAAGTCCAAGTGGTCGGATTCTTTAAGTAAATTAAATGTTATTTTAAAGATTGATGCCTTTTACATAAGCTTCACAGCTTATAGAAACGAATAAAAAATAGGGCAAAGTCTACAAATGGTCCCCGACTGTAAAATATTATTTTATTAAGTCTTTTGATTGTTAAAAATTACAAAATAGTCCTTCAACTATAGAGTATTACTTTGTTGAGTCCATCAACTACTATAAGTTATAAAATAGTCACTCACTATTTATTATATTTCAAACTCATCATTTTATGTTAAATATTTGATATTATTCTAAGCTAGATGTTAATATGCTGACTGTGATGTGATAAAATCTTATCTCATAATCTCAAACGACTGTCATATCAAATCATCATGTTAACGTTAACTTAGATGACCACCAATTTTTTGACAAAAAATGATTAGTTTGAAACATGATGAGTAGTCGAGAGACCATTTTATAACTTTTAATAGTTGAGGGACTCAATAAAGCAACACTCTATGATCGGTAACTATTTTGTAACTTTTAATAGACAATGGACTTAATAAAACAATACTCTATAGTCGTGGACCATTTGTGTACTTTACCCTAACAATAATACATGTCTAATTAATCTTCTTAATTACTTTTAAGTCAAAATTAGTTATTCATTCTAACTCAAAACTATGTCTTTTACACTACTAATTAATTCATGGTAAACTATCTTAATAATGATTAAATTATGGGATTGATTCTATTTTAGTCATCAAACAATTAGATCAGTCAACTAAATGCTCACAATCAAGCCACCAATCATTAATACTTAATAGAATTGTTGAGGTGAAAATTAAATATTTTTTATAATTACATATTTAATCCTTATTACACATATGTAAGTATAATTAGGACTGTATTGATAGAATATATAAGTATAATTATAAAAAATTTCAACTCTCACATCAACAACTCTGTTAACTGTTAAAGGTCAGTGGCTTGATTGATGATGTTTTAATAGTGGAGTAGTTTAATTGAAAAAAAATAGTTTGGTGGTCAAATAGAATCAATTCTCTTTAATGACTATTCAGATAATTTACCCATTAATGAATATAATATCATATTATAATTTGAATTGATATAAGTATATGATCTTATACATAACTCAATCCAAACAACCTAATTATAAAACACGAATATTTTATAAATTTTATAAAAGATATTGACCAATATAATTTTAAAAAAATATGTTAGTCAAAATAATTATCTACACGCCAGAAAAATTATATAGGGAATTTCTCCTTTTTTAAAAACAATTTGTCAAATTAATAAAGCTTTTCCTAACCATTGACTTTGTCAAATATAGTAAATTAATCGATTATTTTTCTTAAAATATATAAATTAATCATTAAACACTCTTCTTCTCGTCCCAAACCCTTGACGTTTACTCCGATGTGGGGTCATAAATATTTTTTAGGATGGGTACGTACATTAATCATCATTTTCCGCCATTTATCATATTATTTATTATTTTTATTAAACAACCAAAAAATAATTATTATTATCAAATAAAAAATTTTACAACCCAAATGAAATGAAACCCAAAAATAGTGGCCGTTTCCACAACCCAACAAACTAGGGTTTTGCCCTTTTCTGTCAGACACCAAGTCATATCAGTCATTAGATCAGATCTGATCTAACGGTCTAGATCAACCCTAAACTAGGGTTTTAACCTAAACTCAACCACCCCACGCACGTCGTCACACGCCCAAAGCTCCCCAAACCCCTAACATTCCGAGTGATCAAGCAAAGATTTTTCATTATCGAAGGAAAACACATATGTAACTCGACTCGTATCAATTTGGAGACGTATCACAGAATTTTATGTTAGGATACAATCCCTAAAAAAGTATATTAAACATTTAGGAGTATACGACAACAAAATTAAAAAAATACAAAAATTTAAATTTTTTAAAAATACGACTATCCTCTAATACTCATTGATCCATCCCTGATCGTCCCTCTCTTCGAGCTTCATGATTTTACTATAAAAAAATCTAGATCTTCAACTATCTCCATACCATTCAGGGTCTCCCTATGTCTTGAGATTGTTACATCTTATAGGTTTGGTTATGTTCTGGATGTGTCTAAACATCGATATACGCATGGATGGATTGAAGGAGAATAGTTGTACTTCTTTAAAATTTTAAATTTTTATATAAGTTTTAGTATTTTTATTTTATAATAATTATTTTATTTTACGCTCTTAAATTTTTAATATAACTTCTTTAAGTTCATACTCTTCACAAAAAAATCATATATGCGTCCTTAAGTTTTTTAAATAAAAATACCGAAAAGAAGAGGTGAAACTCGAGCAACTTTTTTTTTTTGTTAGAGAGAACTCGAATTTAATTCAATTGATTCATACATAAAATTAATCTTAACATGTGGCTTCCGACCAATATCGAGTTTAAACTCGAGTTTAATTCAATTGATTCATACCTGAAAAGACAAGATGCATGAGAAAGATGGTTAATAGATAGATGACCAACAAAAACATTCATTTTAGTCCAGTTGATCACAACCCTCACTCCAATTCTTAATAGCCTGCAACACTGCTTGTTTCACCGCTTGTGCATCAACAGATTCATTCTGATCTTCATTCTGCCAAAAACAAATACACACACATATCAGGACATAATAGAAGGGATTTGAACAGCGGTCCACTACCGGAATAGCGGTAAACGGGTAAAGGTATCGTCTGAAACCGCTATTTCACGATGCGATACCCGTAAAGTTGAGAGCTTCTTACTTCACCACCAACAGCTTGTAACCGGAAGCTGTCTGTGCAAGAAACCCTAGCTTCAAGAATGTTGAGACCCAGTTCTTCAAAGGCTTCCAACAAGGAAACAAGCAGACCGGGGCATGTCTTGTCCGAAAACACACTGATGAGGAAACCCTTGTCTAGGGTTTCTACTGTGACCTGCAATGGATTTTGATGGTCTGAAGATTGAGCAGCTGATATATCTTTATTCAGTCTTTCCACTTTCTGCTTTAGCTCTTCGATGTACTTCGATGCATCCACTATGATTGTTGTTTTGTTCACCTGGATCCATTTGCACAAAAAAGACTCATAAATTTGTTGAATATATATATATATATATATATATATATATAAAAGAAGGGGTTTTACAGCATGAGAATTTGTGATGGAACGAAGAAGATGAAGCTTCTGTTGAAGTGATGCTCTCTTGTCTTCCCTCGAAACCATTTTTATGTGTATGATTTTGTGATCTTATCCTATCTTCTCCTCCATATTTCTCTTTGTTTTTTCAAATCTCTGTAATGCTCCTAAGGGGATGAGCTCTCAAATCTATATAGGATCCCACATGAATGCCTCAGTTTCTTCCCACCATAATATAGTATAGATTCCCTCTCATTTTCCCACATTGCCCTTCTAATTTTCTTAATATATATATATATAGAGTTGACACGAGACAAGCCACCTTTGTATTAAAGTGATGGTTATTATTTTTAGAAGGTCTGGGTTTGAGCGTGTCATCTGTAAGAGTGTTTGAGCATTTATTGTCAGATAATTGAGTCTTTCTAACAGATAATACGTTGTAATCACTTCGTGTTTATTATACAATACATATTTAAGATCCGTAAGTGTCTTACATAGTATCGTCCACAAAGTTTGAGCTTGAATTCTCTCCTTGAGAGTATGTTGTTATTAACATGCACTAACATTCTTTTGTATGAAATTTGGAGAATTGAAGTCGAAATAAGTTCGAAAATTGAACTTGTTTGAAACCCTAGATATAATAAAGATGTCTTGATCGTTGAAACGTTGTAGTGACAGAAGATGAGATTTTTTTTTAAGGGAATTAGACTTCGTTAAAAACCTTCTCATGACTTAATTAAATCGAGAGTCGATCAAGACAATAAACGGGAAAAAGAGGGTAATTGAGGGAAATGGCATTGGGTGAGAATCATATGATGAGTCTCTCGTGAAGTGAAAAAAATGGCATCGGAATAAGTAAAAACAAAAGGATGAATGTTTTAGTTTTGTGATATATGGGAATGCCTCCAAACACACCTCACGGGGTACTTTGTTCTTACACTCTTCCCCCCTTCACCAGCTAGCCGTCACTCTCTTCGTCTTCTCTCCCTCTCTCTCTCTCCACACATGTCATAAAAATCATCATTCATACATATATACGTACGTACGTACACACATATATACACATGAAAATCATCTGATAAACGAACCCATTGAACGATCTTGGTGGTAAAAGGAAATGTTGTTTTCTATAGAGGTTTTGGGTTAAAACAATTGCATCCACAAGATGTGTGTTATCGATAACTAAGAAAGATTCTGAACAAATACTACCTCATAATCATCGCATACTATTCAAAAAAAATTATTCGATACGCGAACTCATTGAGCGATTTTAATGATAAAAGGGAGTGTTGTTCTCCCTAAAGGTCCTATATTCGAGCAGTTACTTCTGCAAGGTGTGTGTGCATTGTCAATAGCTAATAAATTTGCTCCGAACAAATACTACATTGTAATCATCTCATGCTATTCAAAAAACATATGATATACAAACTCATCGAGCGAATTCAATGGTAAAAAGAAATGTTGTTCTCCCTAGAGGTACTGAGTTTGAGCAGTGTGTGTGCACTGTCAGTGGTTATGAAAAAGATTATGAACAAATACGACCTTCTAATCATCTCAGACTATTAAAAAAATTATCAGATACACGAATCATAAGAAGAACATCGGATGTAAATGATTCGAGTTTAATACACTCTTTGATCTCTTGTTCCTATGGAAACCTAAGCTAGGTATCCATAAATGATAAAAATCTCTCCCTTTATCCAACTGATCTGAAATGAATCTGCAGCAAGCAATAGGAGAATTTCTGACCAATTTCTTTAGCCATTGTCCAATGAACATGTCACGAGATGTTTATATACATGATTGAATCATATATATATATATATATATATCAGTTTGCTTTTATTTTATTTGATCATATGGGTCTATATATATAGCTATAGTTTGGAAGAAATTGTAGCATTGTCTCCATTCCACAGGGACAAACGGTGTGCCCACCGATTCACATGTGTGCCCTTAATCATTACAACCAAACAATACTCTCCATACTTAAACCTGCGCCAACCTTGTCTCTTGCCTTCCATGAACTTGCTCCGAACTAAAATACCTCGGTAAAAGTATGATGGTTGTCCGTAGAGGTTTTGGGTTCGAACACCGACATTTGTAAACAAGTGTGTTTAAACGTTTATTGTCGAATGATTTAAAATTTTTAGAACATATACTACCTTGAAATTATCTCAGTTTAATAAAAATATACAATGACTTATTAAGTATTTAAACTCAAAGTAACCCTAATTTATCTAATATTAGACACTCAAGCTTATAATGGATTAATGGGTGAATGTTAGTTACAAAAAAAGTGGGAGATCTAGAAACTTATCTTTTGGATTTGACTAATATTAATTATGTTCGCATGATTCATAAACAAATAGTAGTATGGAAGATTAATTAAACAATGCTAATGCCACGTTAAACCCTAATTAATAAGGTCACCTAAAACTTTTTTCCTTCCCGGTTTCAAGATTTAGCTCTGATTAATCCAACCCGACCCACGTCGTACATCTGTCTTTGATGGTGAGTCCCTCAGTGGGGATTTTCTGCATACTCAAGAAATCAAACCCGAAAACTTACTTAAGCGATATCAAGTTGCTTACCACTTAAATCAACCCATCGGTAAGGTCACCTAAAACTTTAATTTAGTTCAATTATATAAATAAAATTCATGCACATTTGTTTTTTAAAAATATAAATGTGTCCATTTATTTTTCATATTATATAATCATTTGTGTATACAATGATATTAAGTTATTAACATCTTTTATAACTTGTGAAAATTGATGTGTGTGCTTTTCACATCTCTTGTTTTCTAAAATTTTGTTTTAGTTTAATTTTTTAATTCTTGCATATTTTATTTTATAATTTTTTTGAATAGATTTAATTTTATAATTTTAATATTTTTATAAATTATCTTTTTGCATAAGAGTAATGTATAGGATTCTTGTGACCTGGTATAGAAAAGCTCACGTGAGTTTTCACTTCGGGAAAGTACATTCACATGCAAATGTGATAATGGGAACAAAATTTAATTGATAAGTGCTTTTTATTATATATATAGTTTAGGGTTTAAAATTAAAAAGTTTTAACTTCTTAGGATCGTTGGATGAGGGAAAATCAAATGTTGAGATTAACAGTAGTAAATGAGAAGATATTGACTAAAAAACAAGAAGTTAATCTAAGCCGTTGATTTCCCCTCATCCAACGATCCTAAAAAGACGTAAAACTAAAAATTTTACAACTTTTTTAGACGGTTGGATTAAGGGAAATCAAAAGTTGAGATTAACTCATTATTTTGTTTTAGTGAATATCTTCTCATTTCTCATTAATAATCTCAACTTTTGATTTTTCTCTTCCAACGATTCTAAAAATGTGTAAAATAAAATGTTTCACAATATACGATTGGATATATATATATAATGTAAGAAAATTAAAGAATATACAAAGATAGCATAAAAACAAAGACAAGATCCAAGTTTTTGTTGTACTAAACGAAACATATCGATGTTTTGTAAGAAAATGAAGTTACATAATATCCCAACCTAAAATCAAATTTAAAAATAAAAAAAAGGAAGGGTCATTTTCAAGTAGCAAATTTCTTACCTTAATTTACTTTCTTATTTTCCTAGAATAAAAGACTTTTTCATAGTTTCAAATGTTGTCGTGGGATCATCACAAGATGGAATTTTTTTACTCCCGGTGTTCTAAGGTTTCACCTTAACTAATTGTATCAATTCGCGTCGCACTCTTAGTTTTGGTTGGTAAGTCTCCCAATAACAATTTTCTACATACACAAGGATTTGAACTCGAGACCTTACTTAAACGATATCAAATTGCTTACCAATTGAACCAACCCCTGTTAGTCATATGGATTTTTAATATATATATATATATATATAATGTATAATAATAAATTCAATCCTTATTTTTTACTATATTTAGTTATAAATCTTTCAATGAAAATATTGATTGAGATATTAAATTTTGGGTAAATTACTTGTTTAGTACCTAACTATCATTTATGGTCCGTTTTAGTATCTGAACTTTTAATTTTTTCAAAAGCATGCCTAAATTTTAGTTTTTGTTTCATTTTAGTATCTCGTTCAAAATTTAACGTTAAGTTTGGGAAAAAAATGAAAGTTTAGGTACTAAATAGACCAAAACTGATAGTTTATGCACTAAACCCATAAAATTTTGACAGTAGTAATACTAAAATGAAACAAAAACTAAACGTTAAGTATTAAACACATGACAATTTATGTGTATTTCATGGTAACATAACATCATTTATCTTATATGTTACGTTAATCTAGGGTAATTACAAGTGGTGGTATATGTTCAAAGGTTTTCAACCATTTGATAATAAATACTCAAATACCCTACATTGTTGGTGACCTCTAAAAATAACAAATATCTCTTTAATTATTGAGATGAATCGGTTCGTGCTATTATTATATATTGTTTAATACATATAACACTCTTTGTTTTTAATATCTAATGCCTACAAATTGCTTCGCTGTTGCAAACAAATTACCCACTCTTGACAGCTATAATAATTTGTCTTTTCCATTAGATTTTTAAGAAGGAAAAAAAACTATTTGCCAAGCATCGGCATATTTCCGTCAAATTTCATTATTTTTTATCAAAATAAAAATATGTAACACAAAATAATGTTGATTTCAGAGTGTTGATTTGTTGAGTCCTTCGACCATTAAAAGTTACAAATGGTCACTAGATTATTCATTAGTTTCAAACTCGTCATGTTTCATTAAAAATTTGACAGTATTCTGAGTTAAACGTTAACCCACTAACTGTGTACGATAAAATCTGATCCTAAAATCTCAAATGACTATCATATCTCAGTCATCATGTTAACGTCCAGCTCAAATGATCGTCAGTTTTTTAACAAAAAATGACGAGTTTTGAACATGATGAATAGTCGGTGAATTATTTTGTAACTTTTAACAGTCGATGAACTCAACAAAACAACACTCTATAGTCGAAGGACTGTTTCGTAATTTTTAATAGTCGAGGTACTTATTAAAGTAATATCCTATAATCAGGGGACTATTTATGTACTTTATCTTATAATTTTAGATTCTCTTTTTTTGTAATTTTTAGATCTACCACTGATTACAGATACGAATTATTTATTCAAGAATCTACCCATGGAGCATATAAGAAGTTGCCTGGCAGGCCTTTGTCCCTTCTTTCTTTCACATGTTAATGGAAGCAAGCAAAAAAATAATATACATATATATATATATATGGAAGCAACCAGTATAATTAATAATAGAAAATGAAAGTAAAATTAAAATAAATCAAATTTTAAAGGTTTAAATAGATAATTATCCCTATATTTTTTAATGGTATAAAAATTTGGGGGCAGTGGCCCTTCAAGGGCCTACATGGCTCCGTCTCTGTTAACAATCGACACTTTATAAACTTGTTTCGAAAGAGCTAAAAGATCTCTTAATAATATATCTTTAATTGATTTATATAATCACAGTAATATCTGATGAGTGTAAAGTTTGAATCTTGATATTTATATAGTCGTCGTTTATCTTGATATTTCGGTTTTTACTTGGTGAAAAATAAAAACAATAGGATAGGGATGGGAGGAAACAACCAGCCAAAGCCATATGAGTAAAGGGCACAACAATGGCCATATCTGTTTCGGACATCTTGATTAGGAGTTTTCAAACTTCATAAGCCCCACAACATTGGAGTAGTACTGTTTTTATGTATAAACCTTTCAATGACTTCTAAAGGGTAAATTTCACGTTTAGTACTTATATTAAGTTTTGGTCTATTTTAGTACCTAAACTTTTAATTTTTTCAAAATCATACCTAACATTTAGTTTTTGTTTCATTTTAATACCCTGAACGTGATTCCAGCCTCTGTTTCACCGAAAAACATCTCAATCTCCCCAAATCGATAATGAACTCTTTCGACTTCTTCATCGTCCGATCTCTGTCGTCAACCGTCCGATGAGCCTGAAACTGGACTATGTTGGTCGACTCGTCATTCTCTAATGGTCCACCGTTCGGATTGGTCATCCGTCCATCGGAGCTATGTCCCGTCAACCTTTCTGTTAAGTTTTTTAACAGCGAGTACTAAAATAAAACAAAAACTAAACGTTATGTATGATTTTGAAAAATTTAAAAGTTTAGGTACTAAAATGGATCAAAATTGATAATTTAGGTGCTAAATGTGTAGTTTACCCTTTTTTTATTTATTTATTAAATTATTATGGGATAAGATTTGAAGTGTTATTATCATTTAGAGAACTGACTTTTCTTCAATTTGGTAAGCTAATAAGGACCTTCTTTTTGTCTTATACATTTAAGGCCATATGGTAATTCCTAACCATCCACAAACATCAAATAATGTCATGACCGTAACGTCAAATAATGTCATGACCGTAACGTCAGTGATGTTTTTAAAAAAAAATAGTTATAATAAAAAATTATTTTATTTTTTTAGTTGAAGTTTTAAGTGGTTATCGAAAAAAGATTACGAAAAAAATTATTTTTAGAATAAATATTAAGAGGAATGTATAAATCAATGCTTCCATAAATTCGATCGTAGCTTACAATTATAACTTTCGTACCTGTTTATTTAGAATCATTTCTCGAATAAATTAAACAAAGGAAAAAAAAGACAATGATTTTAATCAAGATATTTCCAATAGAAAATCACGAACAGAAAATACAATTGGAACTGAAATGATAGTTGTGTGACTAAATATATAGTTTATCCGTAAAAATAAATATCATCACTCATTAAAAATGTGGTAAATTACATATTTAGTATCTAAACTATTAATTTTAGTAACTTTCAATTTTTTCAAAATCATACATAAAGTGTAGTTTTTGTTCAGTTAGGTACTAAAACGGGACCAAAACTAATAGTTTAGTATTAAGTGTGTTAAGTTTTTAACGGCGAGATACTAAAATGAAACAAAAATTAAACGTTACGTATGATTTTGAAAAAAATGGAAAGCTTAGGTATTAAAACGGACTAAAACTGATAGTTTAGATACTAAGTACAATTTGCCCTAAAATATATAAAATTGAGAGTTATTTTTTTATTAGCTAAAGTGATTACAAATTAGTATATGTTCTAAATACTCTCAACCATTTGACAATGAATGTTTAATCACCTTGTTGCAACATTGATGCTGAATCTGTGACCTTTAAGAACAACAACGATTTTTTTAACCACCAGAAGTTATGATTAGTAGGATGAGTGGCTTTTGTTTTCCAACCAACCCAACGGCGACACATTTCTCCATAACACGTGTCATTAGCAAAAGTCAACCATAAATAATAAGGGATAACAACGTGTCAGGTTAGGATGAGGTTTTTGGTTAATCGGAGTTGATCCAAAAATAGGTATCCTCCACTCGAACTCGATCCGACCCGAAAATTTTATATCTACGTTCGATCAGACCGAAAAATATATATCCTTCACCGACTTTGATCCATTTTTTAGAGTATAAATATGACCAGACCCGACCCGGTATAAACAAATGATTTAATTAAAAAATAATTAATTTTTAAAGAAATTACATTATTATCGTTGGGTCAAGTCGGATCGGAATTTTTTCGCCCTCCACCCAAATTCGACCTGAACCCAATTTTTTTTTAAAAAAATCTGACCATATCGGATCGGATTAGGCCGAAAACGTTGAATTCAAGTTAAATTGTCATCCTATAATAATAGTTTACATTTTTTTATTTAGTAATTAGAAAACAAATATTTTAATGTAATCAAATATTTAATAAACAAAGAGGACCTTATGAGGGTCCAGTTATTAAAATTTGGTCCAATTCAGATGGACCTATATTTGTTGGGCCAATTAAGATCAAATTAAAATTTCAGGTCTCTTGTAATTGAAGAAACAATAACAACAACGTGCAATACAATTAAAATTATTTTTACTACTTTTAATAAAACTATAAATTGTCTCTAAATATGATTTGGAAAATCAGATTTTTTTGACAAAAAATAGATTAAAATTTGAAATATTATAGGATAATGTTGTGACAAGTTATCAAATGGTCACCTGAATATTTATCATGTTCGAACCCGTCCTTTTTTGTCAAAAAAATTGACGGTAGTTTGAACTGTATGTTAACTTGCTGACTGAGATTTGATAAAATATGATCTCATAAACTCAAACGACTATATATCTCAGTCAACATGTTAATGTCCAACTCAGATGACAATTAATTTTTTAACAAAAAATGACGAGTTTAAAGCATAATGAACAGTCGAGTGATCATTTGATAACTTTTAATAGTCAATAAACTCAATAAAACAACTCCCTATAATTTAGGGACCAATTTATAATTTTTAAAAATTAAAAGACTTAATAAAATAGTATCTTATATTCAAGGAATATTTATGTACTTTACCCTATTTTCTAAATATACAAAATTATCACATTATGGGGAAAACATAAATATGATACAAATATATGATAATTTCTAAACTCATAAAATAAATAAACAAACAAACAATCGTTTAATAAATCGAACACGAATACCATTAAAATTTTGAACAAACGAACATGATATTAAAAATTCAGATGAACATAAATCAAATATGAATATCTTTAAAAATAATCAAACAAACACAAATACGAATTTAATATAAACTATCAATTTTGGTTCGTTTTTAGTATCTAAACTTTTAATTTTTTCAAAATTATATCTAAAGTTTAATTTTTATTTTATTTTAGTACCTGCCATTAAAATTTTAGTATCCCGTTTAAAATTTAACGTTAACTTTTGAAAAATTTGAAAGTTTAGTTACTGAAACTGGTCAAAACTGATAGTTTAGGTACTAAACTTGTAATTTACCCTATTGATTTTCGTCGAGAACGACAACCACTTGCTGTCGCTTAAGGTTGATTTTAGCTGTCTCATGAACTGAGGCGGCTTCTTCTTCTTCCTCGACTCGATTTATCTTCTTTTTTTATGCCAATTGTTAATTAAATTAATATAAATCCCAAAAAACTCTTTGTTTTTTGTTTATTTTTATAGCATTTCGTTGCTACCTTCTCCTGTACCTATAAAAATGTAGAATTTTTCAACGTCTTTGACTTCTCACAATCTCTTCATCCTCATAAATTTCAGATCTTCTGGGAATTACCCATTTCAAATCAGGCCTTCAAATTCATCTTCCAATGGCCAAATCCTTAGTTTTCTTTATACTTTTTAGCTTCTGGGTCAGTTTCATTTCGGGTCAATACCCGGGTCTCGAGGCTCCATACAGGATCCACACTTTGTTCTCCGTCGAATGCCAGGACTACTTCGATTGGCAAACCGTCGGGTTCATGCACAGCTTCAACAAGGCCCGACAACCCGGTCCGGTGACTCGGTTACTGAGCTGTACGGACGAGGAGAAGAAGAATTATAAAGGAATGGATTTGGCTCCCACTCTCGAGGTTCCCTCCATGAGTAAACACCCGAAAACTGGTGATTGGTAAAGTTTCTTTGAATTTATTTGGTTAATTTTGGGGTTTGAAATTGCTTTCAATGGTTGATTTGGTTGATCTTGGATTCTGATTTGTGAATTTTTATTATGAACCCAAATGAAGTAGTTGAAGGGTTTATTTTGATTGGGGATTTGCATATGAAAAGAGTGTTGATTGAAGTTCAGTTTCATATGTTTATAGGTTCATGAATGATGAACATCATGCATATGTAGTATACTGTTGTGTCCCTTCTGATTAAAGTCCCTCGTTGTAGCTCGGTTTGTGCGATCGATCGCCTTTTATCGCCTTCTTTTTGCTAGTTTCGGTACAAGTTTGTTTTCGATCTTGTAGGTACCCTGCAATTAACAAGCCTGCCGGAATTGTCCATTGGCTAAAACATAGTAAAGATGCGGAGAATGTCGATTGGGTTGTGATTCTCGATGCGGACATGATCCTCCGAGGTCCGATTATACCTTGGGAACTCGGAGCAGAGAAAGGCCACCCCGTTGCTGCGTATTACGGGTACTATACTTTTTTGAAGTATGCTGAAAGTCGGGATTGTTTATACTTGTAGTAGTGATAAGATGATGCTCCAAGAGAAAGAATTTTTTGTATTTGCGTATTTTCGATGTCCGTTTCCGAATTCCTCAGTTCGGTATTCGTGATTATTCGGTACTTCAGGTACTTGGTAGGATGTGATAATATTCTGGCTAAATTGCACACGACGCACCCGGAGCTCTGTGACAAGGTTGGTGGGCTTTTAACCATGCACATAGATGATCTTCGGGTTCTAGCACCTTTGTGGCTTTCAAAGACGGAAGAAGTACGTGAAGACAGAGCTCACTGGGCGACCAATATAACCGGTGACATTTACGGGAAAGGCTGGATTAGCGAGATGTATGGTTATTCATTTGGTGCCGCAGAAGTACGATATTTCGTTTTTTTTTCTTCAGCCACGCTGTGTGTGATGTTCCTATATCCATCTTTTTCATTTTAGTTATATGTTCTTTTGTTTTCAGGCTGGACTTAGGCATAAGATTAACGATGATCTGATGATCTACCCGGGCTATACTCCACGACCAGGTGTTGAACCTATTCTTCTACATTACGGGTTGCCGATTACTGTTGGAAATTGGTCTTTCAGTAAATTAGAGCATCATGAAGATGGGATTGTTTACGAGTGTGGGCGACTCTTTCCCGAACCTCCTTATCCTAGAGATGTATGTAAAGTTCTAAACCTTGCACCATGAAGGCCGCACAAATGCTTATTTATGTCCATCGAATGCATGTTATATTCGTGAACTTAAACAACATGCTTATTGTTTAAGCACTTGCATATATCATCTGTTTTATTCGTAATTACAAATTACGTGAGACTTGATTTAGTGCATCCTTTCCGTACGCAGGTTAAATTCATGGAACCTGATCCGAATAAAAGGCGTGGCTTGTTCTTGAGTATCGAGTGTATTAATACTATGAACGAGGGTCTTCTGTTACAACATGCCAGAAATGATGCCCGAAGCCAAAGTGGTCAAAATATCTAAGCTTTTTGAAAAGCAAAACTTTTGCTGAACTAACTAAACCGAAGCTGCTTACTCCTCCTAGGTTACAAACTGAGCCGGCCAAGGAGGGGAAGGAAAGTGATGAATATATAAGACCATATCCGAAAATTCACACCTTATTTTCGACAGAATGTACTTCTTATTTTGATTGGCAGACTGTAGGACTCATGCACAGTTTCCGCCTCAGTGGCCAGCCCGGAAATATAACACGTCTTCTCAGCTGTACAGACGAGGAGTTAAAGCAATACAAAGGCCATGACCTGGCACCAACTCATTATGTCCCTTCAATGAGCCGTCATCCGCTTACAGGCGACTGGTAATTCTCGATTTATTGTTATTTACTTTGGCTTCCAATACAATAACTCTTAGGCCACATAAACAGCTTGATACCCCTATAAAACCAAGACCAAGCTTTTATAAACTTGAAGTCAGAGAGTAAACTATTGTTTTTGCTTAATTCGTTTCAGGTATCCGGCAATTAATAAGCCGGCTGCTGTTGTTCATTGGCTCAACCATGTAGACATCGATGCAGAGTATGTGGTTATCCTTGATGCTGACATGATCTTGAGAGGCCCAATTACACCATGGGAGTTCAAAGCAGCACGTGGCCGACCAGTTTCAACCCCGTATGAGTAAGTCAAGGAGAACGAGGATTAATGTACTTCGAAATTGCTTTACAACGTTCTTTCTTCTTATCCCCCCTCTTTTCTCTGTATTCGTTGAATAACCCGTAACTAATTTATGGCTATGCTTGGTAGATACCTTATTGGCTGTGACAATGAGCTTGCTAAACTTCATACTCGCCATCCGAGGCTTGTGACAAGGTTGGAGGTGTTATTATCATGCATATCGATGATCTCCGGGAATTCGCACTGCTATGGTTGCTGAAAACTGAGGAAGTTCGAGCTGACAAAGCTCATTATGCAACAAACATCACTGGAGATATCTTCGAATCTGGATGGATCAGTGAAATGTATGGTTACTCGTTTGGTGCAGCAGAGGTAACGTTTTCGATACTTCTTAAAAACTAGATCGTAACTCTTTATGTCCTCCAAATGAGATTCTGGAGTGAAGACAATAAACATTCATCTCCTCTTTATAATGCAGTTGAATTTACGGCACCTCATGAGCAGCGAGATATTAATATACCCCGGATATGTTCCCGAACCCGGTGTAAAGTACAGAGTTTTCCACTATGGCTTGGAGTTTAAAGTCGGGAATTGGAGCTTTGACAAGGCGAAGTGGAGAGAGGTTGATGTCGTCAACAATTGCTGGGCTACGTTTCCGGACCCTCCCGATCCTTCAACACTCGAACGAACTGATGAGAACTTACTTCAACGAGACCTGCTTAGCATAGAATGTGGGAGAAAACTAAATGAAGCACTGCGTTTGCATCACAAGAGGAGAAACTGCCCCAACCCTACTCTCTTATCCAATCCGAAACCGGATACAACAAAGGATATTGCAACTTCAAGGAAACTCGGTAGGTCTTCCAGGAACGACGACGTAAAAGGCAATCCAGTGCCCAGAAACCATTCTCCGGAATCATCTGAACCTAAAGTTAAAGATGGCCTCTTCAGTACTTTAAGGTTCTGGATCATTCTCTTATGGGTGTTTTCCGGATTAGGTTTTATGCTAGTTATGTTCGCGGTGTGTTCGAGTTACGCAGGCAAGGGATCATCGAAAGGTAAAAGTAACAAAAAGGAGAAGAGCTTATACAGGGTTCTTAAAAACAAATGAACGTGATCGGCAAGCTCGGAAGTCGGACATCTTTGTAACATCGTAAGTCGGTTCTAGAGATGAACAATACATAGTTCGATAGCGATTGGAGTGAGAACCCGAGCATGATATAGAGGTCCAAGATAAAGAGATCAGAAAATTCTAAGCTTCTCTGGTTTTCTAACGGCAAACGATCGTCATTGTAGTTCGTGTTTTGTTGCGCATACTTCGGTTCGAAGCTCCCACGGAGAAAGACATGGTATAATCTGTTCAAATTTTGGTTTCTGGAATTGTAAAACATTACCCTCGAGTTTCTACAAACTTTTGCATGACATAAATACAAAAAAAACCCTAAATTGAAAATATTACAAATTTATATAACTTTTTAGGTTGAACAAGATAATACTTCGGGTTGAAAACCGTAAGTTAAAACTATCCTACACAAGTTGTAAGCATACTCTCTTCCGACTTTATATTTTAAATTCATATTTGATCGCATGGTAGATATCACGTGTAAGAGTAATTTAAAGATTTATGAGTTTCGGGTTTCTGGTTTATTTTTATGAGCTTTAAAGTGATTTAAGTTAAATCTAAATTAATAGAGTAATAGTATATAATGAGATAAATTTATTATATCTTGAGTGATCGAAGAATGAAATATCGAGTCTTATGAATTTTGATTATTAGAATTGGAAATATGATTTTTGACGATTTTTTAAATTTTTAATTAATATTCCAAAGAGATAAGATGAAAGAGCTTGAACTCTTTTAAATATGAAACAAACATTTATTTAATAAATCATGGCCTAACCCACAATCCAAATTCAACCAAAATATAAAATTATTAAAACCCAATAATGATTGTCAAATTCTCCCAACTAAATACCAACCCTCATCATCAGCAGCAGCAACATCAACATCAACATGAACATGAACACCATCATTTTTCACATCATCATCCTCAATATGGTCATCTTCATAATCTTCCATTTCTCCCAAGGCTTGAGAAATCACTTTGGAACCATCATTAGCTACACATCCATCATCGTCATCGCCGTCGTCATCGATATCATCATGATCGTCATCGTGATCATCAGACAAATGGTCCAAAATCATTGAGGCTGAAAACCCAGAAGCTTTGAAACCAGGCCTCCCATCAACAACTCTCCAAGTGATCGACCTGCAGCTAGAAACCATTTCGCTCGGCTTCAATTTACGACTGCCCTTCGTCTTGTCCCTGGACTTGCATGTCGGATGCATGTGACACCCCAAGCACCGTGCCCTACCGCATCGCCCCGTAAACTTGGAATGATTAGTCGGCTTGGTAGGCACCTTCATGAATAATCCGGCAGTCGGAGGCGTGTCGAATTGTTGAATGACCCGAGATTCCGGCTTCGGGTTCAACGGAGATGGGAGGACCCGGTATGTCCGGACCATACCATGTTGGCGACCTTCCCTCCTCATTGTTTGGGCAAAAAGAATGATAATTGATGAAGGATAAGACGAGAAGACAGGCTTAACCTTTTACCCTTTTTATATAGGGTTTTCTTGTTCAAAGTGTCTAGCTTGAGGTGCAAGGAATTCATTTTATGGTCATAGTGCGTGTGGACCAAGCTTAAACAATAAAGTAACAACAGATTGCCGAGCAAGGAACATCATAAGTCATTTTACCTCCTATCCTTTTTCTTTTAGCATTTTAATCCCTAACCTTTTATTTTAGAGCAAAATACTCCATGAATGGATAAAAATCATTAATTGACTAACAATCAATATTTTCTATTGATGCGGTAAGTCCACGTGTGATGCCATGTCATCAAAAAATATTTTTAAATATATTTTTATAAGTGCATATGTAATTAATTATAATTATAGTTTAATTCTAAAAAATAATTTTGTACTGAAGTGACATCACACATAAACTTATCACGTCTATATTAATCATTGAAGTGAGTCAACTAACAATTTCATCCAATAATAGGATATTTTTCTCCAAAATAAAACGATGATGACTAAAATAATTCAGAAATAGATAAGAAACAAAGTGATCGATTATGCAAACGTTGGGGTAATTTTATTATTGTGCATTTTCAATTTTTAAAGTTGCCAAATGGTTCACAAAATTTTTAGATTAATCCCTTGCTTTAATCAGTTAAATCAATTCATCTTATCTAATTTTAATAATTAAAATTTTGTAATATGTTTGGCTAAATTACATGTTTAGGACCTAAACTATCAATTTTGATTTGTTTTAATACTTAAATTTTTTGTTTAAAATCATATCTAAAGTTTAGTTTTTGTTTCATATAGAGCCTCACCGTTAAAAATTTTAGTTTTTATTTCATCTTAGTACTTTGTTCAAAAGGTAACATTAAATTTTGAAAAAAAATGAAAGTTTGGGATACTAATAAGAACTAAAATTGATAGTTTAGATACTAAACGTGTTAAGTTTTTAATAACGGAGTACTAAAATAAAATAAAAACTAAACATTATGTTTGATTTTAAAAATTTTAAAAGTTTATGTACTAAAACGGACCAAAATTAATAACTGCAGTCTATGAATTTAGTACTTAAACTATCAATTTTAATCCATTTTAACATCTAAACTTTCCATTTTTTCAAAATCATACCTAACGCTTATTTTTTATTTCATTTTAGTATATTCTGCTTAAATTTAATTTTTTAACAATGTATTAAAATGAAATAAAAACTAAACTTTAAGTACATCTAAAAAAAATTAAAAACTTATATACTAAAACAAACCAAAACTGACTAAACACATAATTTACCCAATTGATAATTTAGAATGCATAGTTTAACCCTTAACTATAAGACGTTACTTTATTAAGTATCTCGACTATTAAAAATTATAAAATAGATTTCCGATGATCATATAACGTTGTCTTGTTGAAACACTCAATTATTCGTTATGTTCCAAACTTGTCATATTCCGAATAATAACATTTATAAATATAATAATCATATGGATGAACCAAAAATAAATCTTGGACAAAAATCAAAGCTCACATACTTTTGCTGAACCGAAGTTAAGAAACTATGTAATAATGTTTATAATTACTATAAATCATCCACCATGGAAGATTCATGGGAATAGATTCTCTGGATGGTGAAAATGGCAGCTCATTCCATACTTGCAGATCCCAGATTTCTCATAGTTCCAGCACACTTTTTTATCCTACACATTCATAACAAACGAACCGTCGTAAAAACGCGCCAATGTCGTTTTGCCGATATTCAAAGCGATTATCAAACCGGAATAACCGATTTCATAGCTTATGAAAGCTCTTTATCTCTTTTCTGTATGAATCGAAGATGATGGGGACTTACAGGTCTCAGAGGCAGGCCTGCATTGCTGAGGATAGGCTTCAGAAGTCGACTCTCCGGGTGATGAAACTTGCAGGCAGATTTAAACTTGCAATATCCCGTTTTCATAAAGTGTAGACATTTGGGTTCACCGGGCCGTTCGGGGTATTCGTCGACTTGTATTTGCTCCGGGTGGAATCCGGAGATATCTGCAGTCTTTATTGCTTTGTCCATCGATGGAGCTAGATATGGATTACTTGCCTTTTCCTGCTAATTAAGGGTCGAAGCAAGCAACAAAAGAGCTTCCATGAAAGAACATGAACAAAGTTTCGTAATAGCAGCGGAATACGTAATAGCTTAAGCCGAGAAAGGCCGGCTAGTTTCCAGCCATGGCCGTGTGGTTCATGAAACATAAGGGAATCGGATCCTAACATTTTTACAATATATAGAAGCCTTAACTATCATATCCCATCATCCAAAGTTCCTACGGATCTAGAAAAACTCCATCGAATAAATAATTATCATATTTAACAGGAAACTAGAAGGAAAAAAACCGAACTCGGTTTACGGAAGTGAGATAAGAGCTACCTGATGTCCATTCCATTCAGAATTTGCATGCATCCCCTGAGCATATGCTGAATTATGATTCAAGTAGGTAGGATGCTCATTTGGAAACATATTCAATGCAAATGAAGTGGCAGTCAGTTCGATCAATGATGTAAAAGCATCGTGTTCACCGTTATAATTCCCTGGAGAATGGTTTCCAAAACTGGAAGGGTCTGAGCCGAAAGTGCTGGATCCTTCAGCAGCAATGGGATCGGGATGGTTAAACCTGCAGTTTGATCCATATGCACAAGAACCGGTACGCATATAATACGGACACTCTTTCTCCAGCTGAAACGAAACCTAGAATTAGTACACATTCTGCACCCAGAAGGGAGATATGCGACGAAACAAAATATAACGCCGTAAAACATAAAATTATTACAATTCGAATTGGCAGGCCTAGAAAGTTAAGTTCTGGCGGAGGCAACTCAGACTTCTCCAGGTATCTGGACTTCTCTTTGGAGTGACTATATCGACAAGCTTTTCCATACTTGCATCCTCCCGAACTTAGGTAATACTGCGAAACAACGGTAGACGAATCAAGATTGTTTAATACCAAATTCGAAATTCAAAGACAGTTTAGCATAATGATTAACGTTCAAACCTTGCATTCAACCTGCCCTGTCTGTTCCGGGAAGCCATCCTTTTCCCTCTTATCATTTATATCGTTCAAGCGACACCCGTAAACGGAAAGAAGACAACAAAGTCGAAGGATAATCATCAATAAGGTAGCAACAATCTAAAACACTAGTGAAAACGTTTATAACAGATCTACCACATGTACCGGCAGATCCAAAGAGTTGACTTCTAGTGGAGCGAATACATAATCTTCATTAGAGTGCCTATATCTACAAGCATCTCCACACTTGCACCCTCCGGTGGCTCGGTAATACTACAAGCATCATAACATAAAGAAACTCATCGCAACGTGCATGATAACTCCCGGTCGATATAAAAACAGGGTAATTTACATTTAGGTCGCTTAATTTACATTCACATAGGTTACTTATGATCCTCAAAGTGCATTCGAGACTCGACACCAAATTGCTAATAAGAGAAGTTCAGTAAACTAAACTGTGAAATACAATGGCTAATATCACACATCAAAGATACCATTAACCTTAAATTCCTTCTTATAGAAGCTTAGTACTAAGTGTTCAACTTAAGTCAGAAATTTGATAACTAAAAACAAGGGTAAATTACATATTTAGTAGTTAAACTATCAATTTTGGTCCCTTTAATACTTAAACTTTATTGTTTTCAAAATCACATCTAACGGCTATCAATTTTGGACAGTTTTAGTACCTAAATTTCCAGTTTTTTTTCCAAATTTAACATTAAATTTTGAGCATAATACTAAAATAAAACAAAAACTAAATTTTATGTATAATTTTTAAAAAATTAAAATTTTAAATACTAAAATGACCAAAACTGATTATTTAAATACTAAAAAGCATAATTTACACTAAAATCAATTTCGATGTTGCCCCAAAAAGCAAACAAAACCCAGTAAAAGGAAAACAAATTTAACCTGGAACCCTCTAAGAACTGGATGGTTAAACCTGCAGTAAGAACCAAACTTGCAATTCCCAGTTTTAAGATAAAAAGTACAATCTTCAGCGTAAGGCCTTAAAGGTGTTCATTGTTCCCCTCAATCTGCAACTCTTCTTGAAGATGCTCATCGCCAAAGCCATTATCTTCCAAGATCACTTTTTTAAGGTCCTCAACAAGGCTTTCTTCTTCTTTTTCGGTCACATGGTGAAGATTACTCAAAAGGGTTTCTTTTTCTTCGTAACTTGCCATCTTTTTCTGTCTTCTTTTTCCCCCCTCAAATTCCAGGGAAGGTAACTTTCTAAACCCTAGTTCACGTGTGGAGCGTATAAATTGTATAAATCCTCGCTTTTATGACTTTTTGCGAGCCTTTTTCAACCTACTTTACCGGTTTTAACCAAGGCAAAGATCGATTGAGCGCAATGAAAAGTAGGGTAAATTACATTAAATGACACTGAACTTTAATATCTCTTTTATTTCATTTAGTGTACTTTAAATATATTCAGTTTCTTTACTGAATTTAACACAATTAATACTTTTGGTTACTCAGTCGTTTATTCATTAAATGATGTTATAAATGAGTTATTATATGGGTGAAAATGATATTATTTTGGTGAAAATTTTATTTTTATAAAATGATATCGTTTTACCACCGCTAAATATTTAACGTTTGAGTGACCAAAAATGCTAATTGTATTAAATTCAATAAGGAAATTGAACGAATTTAAAGTACATCGATTGAAATAGGAGATAGAGTAAAGTTATAAGATGATTTATGTAATTTATCCTTAAAATTATTATAAAAATTATAATATTTTAGATTGAGCGTAATTTTTTAATATTTTTAATTGCACAGATAATACTATAAATAAAAATTTTATGAATTAAAGTAATTTTTTCAGTTCAACAAAAATTATAAAGAAAAAGTTAAAATTTTAAATTACGTTCAACCAACTGAAAATATTAAGAAAAAAATTAACTTTTCAATTATGCTTATCCCTGTCGTTCTTTAACTTTAAATTACGATGTGGTCCCTTAAATTTTCTTGGATTGCCAAATTAGAATGGAAATCTAAAATTGTTTAAATAATATATACCAGGGTGATTTTGTTTTTCCCATTCCTATTTTAACTATCAATTTTAGTGAAATTATGGTATTATTATTTTATTTTTTATCAATTCTATTTTTATTATTAAATTATTAATTTTAATTAATTTGATGATATGATATGTTAATAAAAATATAAGTATATAAATAATCCTTCGATTATAAGATGTTGTTTTGTTGAGTCATTTAACTATTAATATAAAATAGTCTCTTAATTATAGAAGATTACTTTATTAAGTCCATCATATAACATGACCACTCGATTATTCATATATTTCAATGTAAGTTGGAGTTAACCTGTTAACCTATTGACTAAAATATGATAATCATTTGAGATTTTAAGATCAGATTATATCATATCACAGTCAGCAGTTTAACATTCAATTTATATCATCTTTTGAGATTTTAAGATCAAATTTTATCATATCACAATCAACAACTTAACGTCCAACTTAAACTATCGTTGATTTTTTAACAAAAAAAGAACGAATATGAAACATAACTTTTAATAATAAAGAGACTCAATAAGATAACGTCCGATAATCAAATAATTATTTTATAAATTTTAATCGTTAGAAAACTCAACAAAATATCACTGTATAATATAATGGGTAATAACAAGGCATGCACTTCCATAGAAATCGATAAACTTTATTTTATAATTTTGCAAGCAATTAACCACATAGATTACATGAAACATAACATGAAATATCACTCAACCCTCGATCGGAACCATTTTCTTCGCCGGCTTCTTCACTTCTTGCTTCGGCACAGTCACAACCAGCACCCCATTCTCCATCGACGCCTTAACTCCGTCGGTCTTCGCGTTCTCCGGCAACTCGAAACTCCGACGGAACTTGCCTCGACAACGTTCCATTCTATGCCACTTATCATTCGCATCGTCTTTTTCCTCTTTCCTTTCTCCATATATCTTAAGCACCCTCTCATCATCGACCTCGACATTCACTTCGTCTTTCTTGAGACCCGGAAGATCCGACATGATCACGTGGGCTTCCGGGGTTTCTTTCCAGTCCGTCGGGGTGTTCAGGACAGGACATCTGTTGACCATCGAAAGGAAAGGGTCATAGATTTCATCACCAAACAATTGAGACATGAGAGCCATTGTTTTTCGCTCTTGTTTTAATTTATGAAATGGAGGATATAGCTATGAGAAATGGGATGATCATATATATATATATATATATAAGGTTTGTCTTGAACTTTCTTGGAACATCAAGTATGTTTCTACTATGTTCTGTTGTTAATTAGAACTTGAGCATTCCTTGTAATTGTCAATGGTAGTGTCTGGATCTCTTGCTTTTTTCTTGAATTATCTGATGCAAGTTCGAGAAGTTTATGGATAAGCTAATTACGTAAACATACATCATGGGCCTAGGATGGGCATGGTCCGGTTAGGTTAGGTTTTTATCAATTCGACCCGATCCGAAAATATTTAACCTCAATCCAAAACTCGGTCCGACTCGAGACTAGGGTTGACTTCACCCAACCCAAACTCATTTTAATTTTTTAAAATGAAACCCGACCTGAAATAAATATATTTATAAAAAATATTATTTTTCAATAAAAATATGGATTTGATTGAGAAAATAATATACAGAGGCTTATTATTGTATTTATCCCTAATAAGGTAACTTTATATTATTTTTCGGATCAGGTCAAGTTTGATGTTTTTCATCCTGAAGTTGAATTGGACCTTACCCGAACATATCTTCTACCCGATCTGATCCGACCCAAATTTTTTTTTTTTAAAAATCGATCTAATTAGACCAGATCAGATCAAAACATATCAAATTATAATATTGTGACAATCTCTAAGCATGGCCTCGATAAACCTTCAATGTTCTCTTTAAGCCCATGGTCCCTGATTAGGACACATATATTAATATTATAAATTTTTTATATGAATTATATGTATGAATTTATTAAGAGCATTTAATAAATGGATAAAATATATAAATGGTCCCTGATTTTTAGGTGTTATTTTGTTAAATTTTCCAACTATTTGAAGTTACAAAATGATCTTCTGACTATAGGACGTTGTTTTATTAAGTCTCTGACTATCAAAATTTATAAAATGATACCGAGTATTTATAGGTGAACCGGAACTTCCAGGAAACAAGAAGACCTTTATTTTCATTTTCAAAGCATCACAAGATGTAAACATTTGTTACCTTACAACAACAGTTGGTTAATTGGTCACAGTATCCATGAATTCTTCATCATTTGCAATGGCTTTCAATGTCTCTGGGAAAAGGCACATTTCGACATCAATACTTCCTTCTTCTGGATCATAAAACAATGTCAGCATTCCGTCTAACTTGTTCGACGACCCGCCTCATATCGCCATCGGCTTTCTCCATCCGAATCAAAAACTAAACTTTAGATATATTTTTAAAAAACTATTAAATATTTAGGTACTAAAATATATCAAAATTGAGAGTTTAAATACTAAACACGTAATTTATCCTAAATAGAATGACGTTTCGAGATTTCACATAAACAGTATTTAATTTAAAGTAAATTACATATTTAGTATATAAATTATCAATTTTAATCTATTTTAACATCTAAACTTTAATTTTTTTTTAAATCATACCTAACATTTAATTTTCATTTCACTTTAGTACCCGCCGTTAAAAATTTAACACGTTTAGTACCTAAACTATCAATCTTAATTCAGTTTAGTACCTAAATTTTCAATTTTTTAAAACTTATCTTTAAATTTTGAACAGGGTATTAAAATGAAACAAAAACTAAACTTTAAGTGCGGTTTGAAAAAAAATTAGGTATTAAAACTGATTATTGAAGCACTAAACATGTGATTTACCCTTAAATCATTTACCAAAGTAAAATTAGGGAAACAAAGTTAGCTGGCGGGCTCCAAATGACAGTACCCTTCATATTTACAAGTATCAGATATAAACTATACCTCACTGACATTATAATATAATAAAGAGTATTTTCCATCCCACCATTATTTCAAATAGCCGATTTCATCTCTTCAAACTCAATCTCTCTTCACAAACCGTCCCTACAAAAAAAAAGGATAAAAAATTGTTAGTATCGATTAAATACGAATACCCATTCGAATAATCGAATTCGAAGTTCAAACACTCGCTTAAACTTCGAATTCGAACATCGGAACATACCTTCAACCTAGGGCGCTTTTCGGCATTGAGTTTTCGGACTTCATACCGAATCCGCTTGGCGAAAAGCCTATTTCGCCTCTTCTCTTTGTATCTCAAAACACTCGCTTCTCTATGCCCCTTTTTCCAACGCTCCTTTCCGTCTTCTTCTTCCTTGATCTTCGAACCACCCGCCATTTCCGGCACCTTCCACACGTTCGAAGCACTCCCCGAACCGCCGGATAGAACCTGCCACGATCACGGGTATCCGATTTCATATTCGAGTCGAACACATATCGAAAGTCACATTCACTAGTATATTCCCATAGGCTTGATATGCCGTAAAGGGTAAATGTCATGAACAACTTATTGTTTAGTGATATGGTAACTAAAAACTATGTAATATAATACATTTAATATCAACCAATGGTGTTAGGACGGACCAAAATTGAAGCTGGCTTAAAAAGGTCCACTGGGCCCCATAATAAAGCAAAAAGTGTAAAGCATACTTTTCATCACATTGAGCTTTTTCACACATTTTTTTATTTAATCATGGCCATCAGATAAGTTAATTTGAATCGAATACTATAAAATTTTATTCTATATGATTTCTCAATAATAAAAGTATTAATTATTTTTTCTTCAAAGTAATAAAAATTAATTTTAAATCTTTAAATCATAGTTAATTAAATTTAATTCGATTAATATTATCATTATTACACATAATATGAAAAAGTAGATTATATGTTTAAATATATATTTTTTATCAATAAGTGAAAGTTCAGAAAATAAAATTATCAAGTGATCTTAATAATTAAGAAAAATATTATTTTTACTATAGTGTGTACAAGTTATTAATTGTTAATTGTTAAATTCTTTATGAACAGATAATATTTTGTAATTATTCTATATTATTAAAAAAATGATAAATTATGTGTTTAGTACTTAAAATATCAAATTTGATTCATTTTAGTATCTAAATTTTTATTTTTTTCAAAAATATATATAAAATTTATTTTTTGTTTCATTTAATATCTAATTAAATTATAAAAAATTAAGTACTAAAATGAATTAAAATTGACAAATTAAAACAAATTCTTAGGTATTAACCAGGGTCATAAGGAAAAAAAAAATATTGATTAGGGGCAAAGATCTTACATTTGCATGCAAGTGAGGAACAGTCTGAGGGGACTCCCCTTCAATGTAAAGGGTACCCTTATCAGACCAAGCATTCATGATCTCCTCGTAATCAAGCTTCAAAGCCAACAGCTTCTTCGTCTTCCTCCTACTCCACCATGCACCGCCGTCTCCGCCGCTACTCACCTCTTCCATCTCCTTCTTCTCCACCACATCGGAATAAACCACCCATCTCTCCTCACTCTCGTCCCTCACCTTCTTCCCTTTCATGGCCGTCCGTACAAGCGAAAAACTCGTACGATCATCATAACACCCGTACGTCGTCAAAGAAGGCGACAAGGGGCCCTCTTCCGACGTTACCGCCGCCGTCGCCGCCGTTCGATTCTTGTAATTATCGCTTCCCTCGCTGTCCAAGAGACCGTTGAGCGTGACGGCGTTACCGCCTTCTTCCTCCGTCGTGTCGAAGAGCATGGAAACATTATCGTACTGCGCGTCGTCCCTGTCTTCGACCAAATTCTCGGGGTGAAGCGGGAAGAGATTAAGCTGCTTGTCGGTAATCTCTTTGCTTCCTTCGTCTTCGCAGTTGTCCCCGGCGGCTACCGACGACATCGGAGGCAGGTTTTCTTCGAGGCGATGAAGGCTGAGGTACTTCGGTCTCCTCGTTTTACTTCGGGTCTTACGAGAATGTTCCAAAGAAAAACTACGACCTTTGGGTTTTCTTTTGCTCCGTCTAACACTGTTGTTGTTGTTGCACATATTTGTGTTTGGATGCCGAGAAAATAATTAGAAAGAAGGGATCTATGAAGAAGGAAAAGACACCGGGATACTGTAATGAAAGCAAAGGGCTTTAATGTCGGAAAATTACAGTGGGGGATGGGGATCAGCTGATTGGGGTGGCACTTTATTTTCACGTGGAAGAAGATGATTGGGTGGAGAAGTAGATTGTGTTGTTATCTGGATTTCGTTCCTCTAGATAGGGTTGGGGTACTTTAGGGGCATAACAATTGGTCCAAAACTTGGAAATCTTTGATTTTTGCTTAATGGATAATTTTATTAGATTACTGTAGGGTTTAAAAAAAATATTTGCTTAATAGATAATGTATACCCACCCTATATAATAATATAAGATCTTTAAAGATAATAATATATATATTTACTGTTAAAGTTGATTGATGAATTTAATATGTCAAAAGTTTTTGAAAATTACACGATTTTAATACAACATTAATTGTTATAATTAATTTTGATAAAATATTACTAATGGGGTCAATTTAATTAAATCCTGTTCTGGTTTATTTCCTAAAATATTATTCAATATTCTTATTTTCCTAATTTATTTCTTCATAAGTGTATGATCAAAGCTTTGGTGTCTACTTCAAAAGTCAAAATCAAAAACCAAAAAATTCTTATCCTTGGATGAGTGTATGGTACTGAAACAAAAACCAAGCTCCAAATGGTCACCTATTATAAGTTATAAAACGTTGACCTAATTGTTCATTATGTTTTAAATTTATCTTTTTATATTAAAAAATTAACGGTATTATAAGTCAAACATTAATCTGATGACTGTGATATGATAAAATATGATCTCATAATCTCAAACGACTATCATATCTCAGTCATCATGTTAACATCCAGCTTAGACGATCGCCAAATTTTAAACATAAAAGCTGGATTTATAACATAATGAATAATTTAATGATTATTTTGTAATTTTTAATAGTCGGTTGATTTAACAAAACAACAGTCTATAGTTAAATGATCATTTTATAACTTTTAATAGTCGAGTGTCTTAATAAAATAGTATTATATAGTCGGGAGATTACTTTACACTTAAATTTATTTAAACAAAAATATAATATTTTAAAATAGTTGAATAAGTGTTTAATCATTTTGAATCTACTTAAAAAAAGAGTTTAACATTTTAAGATTCGTTCGGATAGCTAATAATTATTCAATAATTTTGAAATATTATTTCTTTATTTAAATATATTAAAAAATTAGATTTTTATTCGATTGTTTTTTAAAAATTAAAGGAAAAAAACATCAAAGGTCCCTTGAAAAAAAATCAATGTAGACATCCAACTCAGTAAATAGATTGAATGTGTCCCTTTAACCAATGTTTTTCATCGGATTTAAAGAGGGATTTATCTAACTCAAAACTTGAACTGAATTTTGAGATAAAATACACACTTAGACCCGACACCCACCCAGGTATATACAATATATATTATTTTATTCACTAAAATAGGGACTTAGTTGACAAAAAACATAAAGAGACGGATATTATTGCAACTATATAAAATATATAAGACGCAATTATATTATTATCTTGGATCAGGTCGAGAATTTCACCCTAAACATGAACTCGAATCCAATCAAACTTTATTGTAGAAAAACTTAATTTAATCCGACTCGAATCTAAATTTTTAAAATAAAAACTCAATACTATAAAATAAGCTACATATTTGTCTAGTATGTCTAAGGCAAATACATAAATTTATGTATGAGGAGCAAATTTATAAAAAAAAATTAATAGATGAAAAATTTATAAAATTTAAAAAAACAAATATATAAAATATATAAAAAATTAAAAAATTTAAGACAGTCTTCCCCTCAATAAATAGATGCCCATGTCCAACCCTAGCAATAAGGGCGTGTTGGGGTGAGTTGATAGGGAAAGGAGGTTGAAGTCAATAGTGAAGATCTAAGGGCCAATCAACAAAGAGGAGCACGGGAAAGTGCATAGTTGGGGGGGGGGTCCCAATAAGACCTTTTCTATCAACACTTTTTTGGTGATATGCAGGCTGAACACTTGCACAACCCTCCAAATTGGACTTTGTCAACATTCAATTCTTCTACCGGTCGTTTTAGTATATAAATTTTTATTTTTTATTTTATTTTAATATCTCATCGACATCGTGCAGTATTTAAATTATTAATTTTAGTCTGTTTTAATATTTAAATTTTTATTTTTTTTAAATATAACGTTAAATTTTAAACGGGATGTAAAAATAAAACAAAAACTAAATCTTTTAACGGCGGGTATTAAAACAAAACAAAAATTGAACTTTATGTATAATTTTAAAAAAATTAAAAGTTTAGACACTAAAACAAACAAAAACTAATAATTTAGATGCTAAACGCTTAGTTTACCTATTTTCCTCTACAACTTTAGCCTCTATAAAATTGCCAATTAATAATTTTCATCTAAAAGACTATTCTAATTAAAATAATTTTAAAAATAAATAATTATTTACGTTGAAGTAGGGATGACAATGGGTCGGGTTCGGGCAGGGTATTGGTCCCCCCGTCCCCGTCCCCGTTTAAAAAACTCGTACTCATCCCTGCTTAAAAATCCGTGAGGATTTAAACGGGGATTCTCATCGGATAATCGGGGAAAACCGCAGGAAAACGGATATCGGGCCGGGTAAATATATATAAATTAAATATATAAATATTATATATATTTTTTAATTTAAATTAAATTTATTAATATTATATATATATAATCATTATTTTTAATATTTATCGGACCGAATATCGGGCCGGGTAATCGAGAAATCGGGACGGAGATTATTAAACCCGTCCCCGTCTCCGTTTAAGATAAATGGTTTTTCTCCGTCCCCGTCCCCGTCCCCATCCCCGTTTAGCATAAACGATTTTTTTCCGTCCCTGTTTAATTCAATTTTCGATTTTACCCATCGAGTTTAAATTTTTTACCATCCCAACGTTGAAGACTAATTTTAGCATTGATTTTTTTATATATAAATCAATGTTTATATAAGGTAAAAATGTATGAGATGTATGGAAGATTAGACATCTTCGTGAAGATGTACGGATGATTAGGTAAATTCTGGGTGACATAATGACTACATGTAACTTTGTTGGATTATGGGCATACATGTACCCACCAGACGGTCCACGTGTCTTCTCAAAATCATCCGATAATTCATATATCTACTCAAAATCGTCGAGTGATTTATGTGTTTTTTCAATCCCTTATATTGAGTAATTATTTTTTTCAGACATATTATTTGTGTAATTTTATTATTTAAATAGCTATATATATTTAATATAATGTTTTAAATTATCGAATGATATAAATATTTAAATCAAGGAATACTATATATAATATATAAATATATTTGTCTTACATCATTTTACATATCACGTTTCTATAATAGCAACAGAATTAAAATTAAATAATTCTTTTAATACAAATGAAAGACAAACTCTGCGTTTGATTTTAGGGTAAATTACATCAAATATCACCAAACTTTAAGTACTATATCGTTTATACCATTGAACTTTCAATCTTACCAATTATAATACTGAACTTTTATTTTTGTTTCAATTGTACTACTGAACTGTTAAATTGTTAACAATACGATGACATAGATGACGGTTGTCGATGTAGACACCTCACAAAAATGACATCGTTTTGATATGATTGTTAATGGTTTAATGGTCTAGTTGTATAATTGAAACGAAAATCAATGTTTAGTACTATAATTGGCAAAATTGAAAGTTCAATGGTATAAATGATATAACTCCTAAAGTTTGGTGGCATCTAATGTAGTTTACCCTTGATCGTATAACATTATTAATTGGGTAGAACTCCCCGCCATAAAGTGTCGGTGGAGTGCCTTGCTCTTCTAACATTATTATCAGATCTCAAAATTCCTGCGTTTCCGATCTACAAATAAATAATGAAAATGAAAGTTTAGATATTAAAACGTATCAAAATTGATAGTTTAAGTATTAAAAATATTAAGTTTTTAACGGAAAAATACTAAAATGAAATGAAAACTCAACATTAAGTATGATTTTAAAACAATTAAAAATTTAGGTACTAAAATATATCATAACTGATATTTTAGGTACTAAATACATAATTTATCCGTTATTTTAAAATTTCAGTACTATTATATTTTAATCCTTTTAGTTTTTATAAAAATAAGCAAAATCACTAGAAAAAATGGATACATATATAAAATGATATGACACATTGTTGTAGGTTAGTTAGATATAGATTTAAATTTAATCGTAAATATTTATACTATTATTATATTATTTGATTTAAATTTAAATGATATTTTGTATTTTTATATAATATATATATTTTTCATATTATTTTTTTATATGTGATTTAAATATACCATACAAAGTTGAGTGATTCAACCCAAAATTTGACTCAAACATGAAAATAATATATTAATTATTAAAAATTTTGAGTTATATTTTACAACTCGATTTAAACTTAAAATTTTTTGGAGTCGAGTCAAGTTTATGAAATTATAACTCGAAATCAATTCGAGTCGAGCTTTTTCAAGTCAAATTGAGTCGAAAAAATCGATTTTCCGAGTCAAATTTGCTGGTCCATAATATCATATACCCCGATAAGAATAAGTGTTTATGGTAATATTTAAGTTACGACCTCTTTTAATTTGGGAGGAAAATTATAGTTAGTTGGTGATTAACCGATAATTGATCCTATTTTTACAATTAAAATAATATATTAATTAATTTTAATTTAATTAATTTTTGAGTTTGAGTCGAATCTCTCGACTCTGTATGATGCATGTATGTCACATGTGAAGAAATATATATGTATTATATATGGTTATAAAAAGACCATTTAAATTCGAATAAAATAATATCATAATATTATAAATATTTACAATTAAATTTAAACAGAAACTCAAAAGTTCGACTCGTCTCAACTTGAAATTTTTTTAAGTCAACTTCGAGTTATAAAATAGGAATTGCCAACTTGAATAACTCGAAATTTTTTTAATCGACTCGATTGAACCACTACTTACAATTGGCGCATATCATCTTTACATGTGTATCATAGTGAAAAATCAAACATGACTAATGATGGTGATAATGGAGCAATTCAAGCTGAAAATATTCGAGTAAATTACGTCCATAATCACTTAATTATGAGAGATTTTAATATAATTATTGATTTTTAATATTATCAATTAAATATTTAATTATTTAAATGATAACAATTAAACTATCTTTCGTTAACATTTTGACAGATGAATTGACTAAATAATAATGACTAAATATTTTGATAAAATTAAACTATTTAAATAACAACATTTTGATAAAATTAGTATAATTATATAATCGATCTCTATTACTTAAACATTTATCAGAGGAGGTAACATATAAACAATAATGACTAAATATGTAATTATACTAATTTTGTTAATTATAATTTCAATTCGTTCGTCTAGTGTTATTGATAGGTGACTTGATTGATATTATTAAAATAATTAAATGATTTGAATGATGAAATTAAAAATCTCTTTAGAGTTAAGAGGTCACGAATGTAATTTACTCACATTATTATTATAATTAAGGGTATACTACACATTTAATATTCCAATTATTACTTTTATTCCATATTGGTCATCAACTATTATTTTTTTCATAATCACGTCTAACGTTACATTTTAATTTTATATTGGTCACTCGCCTTTAAAATATTACTAATAGAACTGCTGGCAATATTTTTTCGATGATGATGTGGTATTGCTTTATGATGACACGTCAGCATCATCGTTAAATTTTTAACAGAGGATGACCAAAATGAAATCAAAATTAAACATTATGTAGGATATTTTAAAAAGAATAGTTGAGTGACTAAAACAGAATAAAGTTGATACTTGGTTACTAAGCATATAGTTAACCCTACAATTAAAGACAAGGCTCAAAAATCCCCTAATTCGGGTAAATTTTGCATTTAGTATCTATACTATCAGTTTTGATATATTTTAGTATCTAAATTTTCAATTTTTTTCTAAATCATACCTAATATTTAATTTTTATTTCATTTTAGTACCGTTAAAAACTTAATGCGTTTAATACCTAAACTGTTAGTTTTAGTTTGTTTTAGTACCCAAACTTTCAATTTATTTAAAATTTAACGTTAAATTTTGACAAAGATACTAAAATGAAACGTAAACTAAACTTTTTAACAGCGAGATATTAAAATGAAATAAAAACTAAATTTTATGTATAATTTTAAAAAATTTAAAAATTTAGATACTAAAACGGGCTAAAACTAATATTTTAATACTATATGTGTAATTTCACAACCCCTCCCTACCAAACCAAAACCTTCAAACGTAAGTAAAGGCTTAGGACAAAACAGATAACTTCTCGGAAAATCTAACGTCTCCGTTTATCTCTCTCTCTCTTCTTCTTCTTCCCGCAAACTCGGAACCTTTTATCCATTGAAACCAAAGAAGCTCTAGAAACGACGACGTAGTGAAGAAAAAAACCATGTCTTACGATTATCTTTTCAAGTACATCATCATCGGCGACACTGGTATACTCTCTCTCTAGAAGCTTTCTGTAAATCCCTTTTTGAAAACAAATTGTTCAAAGTTTTTCTATGGGTTTTAATCGATTTTTTACAGGCGTGGGAAAATCATGTTTGCTCTTGCAGTTTACCGACAAGAGATTCCAACCGGTTCATGATTTAACCATCGGTGTCGAATTCGGTGCTAGGATGGTGACCATTGATGGCCTACCCATCAAGCTTCAAATCTGGGATACTGTATGAACCTTCTTTGTCGGTGCACTTTGTTTTGTTATTTGCTGAAAGGGTCTTCAAAATTTGATTTCTTTTAGCTTTTGGGCTTCAATTACTTCATTTAGGACTTGGGAAGATTAGGGTTTCTGTTCCTCGAACAAACGTTTTGAAATTTGGATAATTTCTTCCTCAGGGCTGTATTGATGCCATGTCCTTTTTAGTGTTTAGGGTTTAATATTTATGGTTTAGGGTTTCATTCGAATATGTTGATGACATTCAAATAATTTCTTATTTTGCTTTTGCGTACGACTATAACATAATTTGGATATAGGATTTCGTTTTTATGTTTAAATTATCGATTTATAGGGTTTATGATGTTACGGTAACGAAGTTTTGGCTGTTGGGTTATAAGAGCTCATATTTAGGTGCTCGCGGATTGAAATTCGTTGTATAAAGAAAAAACGAACAGTTGTTTCGTGTTTTATTCGAATGGAGTATGGTTCGAGAATTGTCGGATTTGTGAGTGATCATAGGATAAGTGAAAGCTTTTGAACTTTGTAATCCTTTTAAGGAAAAGTATAAGTTAGTTCTTGAATGAATCTTTGTCTCGGATATCGGTTTTGTAGACTGCGTTTGGTAGTTTTTCGGCTGTTTTAGAGGATTTCTTACTTCTTTTATGAAAGAACGATATAATCTTGGTCGGAAAATTTTCACTATTGGCTTGTCCCAGAAACTAATAATTCAATTTAAGCGACGTATTACAGTTCAATTATAGGTATTTTGTTGGATGCACAAGAGTTCATATTTGGGAGCTTGTGAATTGTAGTTCACTTTGAGGGAAATACGAGCCATATTTGTTTTGTTTTGATTGGTATGAGGTTGGTTTAAAGTTCGAGATTTCTCGGATTTGTGAGAGTGAATAGAGGATGAGTCTTAGTAATCTTGTAAGGAGAAGTGTTAGTCAGTCCTTCCAGAAATTTGTGATATAGATTGCATTGGTCGTAAAACCAACGGTAGCGTTGCTTATTTAATGCATTTGATGGCTTATTTCGCCTCGGTTATGGTTACATTGTTGGTTGTCTGGTCATATTTTTCTATATTATTGCTTACGATTTAAACCGAAGCTTTTGTTTTGCTTATATTTCAGGCCGGGCAAGAATCCTTCAGGTCCATCACCAGATCTTACTATAGAGGAGCGGCTGGAGCTCTACTTGTCTACGATATAACCAGGTCCGAGACAAAAACATCTTTAGCCGTAGAATTGTATCTTCAGCTGTGATTGCAAGATTGTTTAAATAACGATATGTTGCTCCGACTTTTTATTTTTCGCGAAGTATCTTGGTCCGAGGTGAAAGATCACTCTTACTTCTACTTTCTCATTCTCTTCGTTAAAAAGCCGAGACCGGTTGTTCTATTCTTTTATTACGGCTTTTACGCATAAATTCGTTCTTTCAATTCACTTGATCAGGAGAGAGACATTTAATCATTTGGCAAGCTGGTTGGAAGATGCGCGTCAGCATGCGAATCCCAACATGACAATCATGCTGATAGGAAACAAGTCCGATCTTTCTCACCGGAGAGCTGTTAGCAAAGAAGAGGGCGAACAGTTTGCAAAGGAAAACGGGCTTTTGTTCTTGGAAGCATCCGCGAGAACGGCGCAAAACGTCGAGGAGGTAAGGATTTGTAACGTAATATTTATGTGTTTTTAATGAACATCTTTAACTTAAATATGGACTTAACTTGTAGGCCTTCGTAAAGACCGCTGCCAAGATTCTAAAGAACATCCTGGAAGGAGTCTTCGATGCTTCCAATGAGGTAATAATCGAGCCATAACTTGTTTAAATCCGATGCGAACCAACTCCGCTTTTCATGAAGTATGTCTTACCTAATCCTTTTGTTTTGCTCTTGGAAACTAATGCAGTCATCTGGCATCAAGCTCGGCTACGGGCAGGCACAAGGTCCATCTGGTTCAAGAGACAGAGCCGTTGCTCAAAGTGGTGGTTGTTGTGGTTAGTACAAAATGGAAACAATCTATTGTCTTTATTCGATCCTTTCCGGTTTATTTCTACATCGCATCGCTTTGATGAATATCACCATGAAGGTGTTGTCGAACTCGGTAAGAACACTCGATGTATAGAACTATGTCTTTTCCTTGTACTGAACCCGGAACTCGTTTGGCCGCCACGCGCCTCCTTTACATTCTATCCCGACTCATTTGCACTGTAAGATATGGATCCAAACGTTGTCGAAAGACCGAGCATGATATCCGGCTACCGGTTATAATCCACGGTCGTTCTTTAAAACATGCGTATTGATGCATTGAAGAATGTTGGTTCTTGCAGTCGATGGGTTTGCATAAATGAACCCTTGTTTGTTCTTCACGCCACCTAAAACGATCCATTTAGTAATTTCTATTAGAGTTAATTGCATCATATTTCCCCAACTTATAACCCTTTTTTGAATTGATACTTAAACTTTTGAATATTCAAATTTCATCCCCAATTTTATCTAAATATGTAATTAGTTTCAACCATAGTTTAACTAAAATTTTGTTTTTTTTAAACATATAATAATATAATTGGCCTAACAATTTTATTAATAAGGAATGTGATTAATAAGGAATATGATTAGTGTATATATAGTTTGAGTTTAAATTGGAATGTTCAGAAAGTTTGGGGGGTTAATTCAGAATAAAGGTCATAATTTGGGGTTGAAATCAAAATGTTTAAAGGTTTTGAGGATTAATTTGAAATGATAGTCATAGTTTAGGGATGAAATTGAAATATTTAAAAGTTTAGGGATCAATTTGAAATGAGAATCATACTTGGAGGAATGTGATGTAATTAACTCTTTCTTTTAAATTGAGAATCAGTGGTTGCACTGATGAAACTTTCAATTCACTTACTTCGACTGTCACAATAATTGAGAAGATAATAATATTAGATGAAATAAATATGTAAATATTAATATTTAAGGTAAAGCACACAAACGATTTTCAACTATAAAATATTATTTTGATAAGTCTGTGGTTAAATAATTTTTCGATTATAAGGTACTTTTGTTAAGTCTCATTATTATTCAACTATTCATATGTTTTAATTTTATATTTTTTCGTTAAAAAAGTTGATAATTGTCCGAATTGAATGTTAACATGTTGACTGAAATATTATAATATCGAATCTCAAAATCGTTTGAGCCGTATTTTATAAATCTAATTTCTGTTTACATTATGTCATCTAGTCAGTATTTGTAATATAATGTTGTCGAACCAGAGCTCGAAAGCAATAACGGTGTCGGTACTTACTAAACATCATTAAAACACAATTTTATTATTTTAGACAACCATTATTTTTTTTTAACGGAAATAGAAAATCTGAAACATATTAGTACTCCGATGATTGTTTTGCAACTTTAATTTTATTTTGAAAAATGTTAAAATATACTTTTTTTTTAATTTTTAAAAATACATTTTAACTTATAACCGCAAGATTGAGACGTTGAGATCTAAAATACTCCCAAAAAATAAATGATAAAATAATTATTTGTACAAATAGAGAAAATTAATTTAATTATTATGCCTTTTTTTAATGGAGGGACATCATGAATATTTTCTTTTATTAATCTGGGTAACTACATATTCGTAGATAAATCTTTATCATTTGATATTGAACGCTCACACTTCTGATATCAGGGGCGGAGCTATAAGATTTATTTTGAGGTGTCAAATTTAGAAATTATATGAAAAAAAATGATCGAGAAATTGAGCATTAAATTTTATTCCTATTAACGAATCGAATGAACACGAATGAGTGTATGTTCTTGTTGTTCGTTTAACTTTAATCGAACATATGAACCGACATGAATAACTAAATGAACGAAATTTCTTATTCATTAATTAAGAAATGTAGTTTGTTCGTGTTCACTCGTTAAAATGATAAACGAACACACACGAACGAACATAAACGAACACAAAGAAACGTAAATAAACATAAACGGACGAACATAAAATTAATTGAGATTATATTTGAGAATAGTTTTTTTTTCTTTTCAAATAATTTTAGGATTTATATTTTCTTTAAATGATTTGAGAACTTTCTATTTGAGTTTATAATTAATTAGAATTTAAAATATTAACAGATTTAAGTTTAAAATTTATTATGTATTAATATTTCAAAAGGGTCTGGGAATTGTATTGAATATAATCGAACGAACATAAATGAACGGATTATTGAATGTTCACGAATGTAAATAAATGACATGTCTGTTCATTTAATTAAATGAACATAAAATCTTGTTCATGTTCGTTCATTTAATAAATAAACGAACATAAATGAACTTCCTGTCGAATAATTCACAAATAGTTCGCTGAACATTCGATTCATTTACCTACCTATTAAATTTTTTATTGTTGAATATATTTTAAAATGTATGATCAATTTTTTAAAGGGTGTCAATTAGGGATGGCAATGGATCTTCGACCCGACCCTAACTGTAGATCCAAATCCATTTTATAGGGTATGAATCCTCTTATTAAAGTACGAATCCGAGTCTAGATTTAACACTAAAATACCAAGTATAGACTCGTTTATCCGTTTATAGAAAAGTTCACCTTTAATTTTAATATATATATATATATAATAGTTTTTAAAAAATATATATATATATTTATAGAGAGAGACACTTGAGTTCTTATAAGGTTAAGTTTTTTTAGGATTTAAACTTGCATTAGATAATAAAATGTTTCATGATATACATTTTTTAATGTTTGTGTTATTCAAAAGATATTTTTGTAATTTGTGTGTAGTTTTTTTGAGACTTTAGTTTATCGTTTTTTTATTATGTTATTAGTTGTATTGAAATTTTTATTTTTTCCATTGGAGATATGATGTGAAATTAGTCAATGATAGTTTCATTAGGTTAAAAAATAGGTCGAATGATTATTTTTTAACATACCCGTTTTAGACCCGGATCCGTGAGATCCGTTGGATCTGGATATGTGTCTCAATTTTTTAAACCCACAGATCTGAGGCGGTCTGAATCCAAATATGAAAATGGATTTTTTAAAGGGGTGACATTTCTTTAATTTTTTATATATAATTTATATAGGAATTTTTCTTTTTAAAAAGTTTTGGGGTGTCAATCTAATTCTATACTGGCTAGTTAGTGCATAGTATTATTGGTGTTTGAACCCGAAACATCAACGAATCAAACAATCTCGCTGGTAAAGAAATTTTAATTATTATTTGAGGTCCCGAGTTTAAGTACTAAGAATGTCAGGGTGTGAGGATGTTCAATGTTAAATGTTTGAGAATTATCTTTGAATAGATACTACCTTATACTTATTCATATTAATAAAAGAAATGAATAAATTGAATATAAAAAAAATACCCCTTAAGCCAAATATAAAATATTCTCAACAAACAAAAGTGGTTTTCCCATTTTTCTAAGGACATTTTGGGAAAGAAATCTGGGAGAGGACTTCTTTTTAACAAGTTTTAATTGGCAACTGCCTATGTTGACAGATCAGCACATGTCTTCCACGAAATAAATTACAAACTTGAAATTACATATCCACCCCTATACTTTTGTAATTTTCAGCAACGCTATCTTATGAATGTATAATAATAATAATAATAAATCATTTTATTCTTTTACTTAGAAAAATGTTACTTTGTTTTCTAAATTTAAATTATATATTTTTATAAAAACAAATTTTAATTAATTAAAAAATATATTAAAAAAAACTTAAATTTCCTTCCCATAACATGAACTTTTAAAATCTAAGTTAATTAGACAATTATTTTAGGGTAAATTACGCGTTAATACCTAAACTATCAATTTTGATTGATTTTAGTATCTAAACTTTCATTTTTATCAAAATCATACCCAAACATTAGTTTTTTTTTTTCATTTTAGTATATGCAGTCAAAAACTTTAATTTTTGTTTCATTTTAATATATCGTTCAAAATTTAACGTTAAGTTTTGAAAACTGAAAGTTTAAATATTAAAATGAATCAAAACTGATAGTTTAGGTACTAAAAGCGTTAAGTGTTTAACGATTGGGTACTAAAATAAAATGAAAACTAAATATTAGATATTGTTTTGAAAATTTTGAGAGTTTAGGTACTAAATATGTAATTTGCCCTTATTTTTATGTAAATTTATATTTTGACCCATTATATTTAAAAGAAAAAATAACCTCAGTGACCAAAAATGCCTTATAATATACGATTTTAACCAACTTTTTTTGGATTTGCCAAAATGACCAACTAAATCGCAATGTGATCGATAATTCGCAACGCGATCTCTGATATCGCAAATCAGTTTTCAGATTCGCAACGCGAACATCGACTATCGCAATGCGATTTTCCAAATTCGTTGCGATAGTCCAAGTTCGTTGCGATAGTCGAAGTTCGCGTTGCGATTTATTCCAAATTCGTTGCGATAGTCCAAGTTCGTGTTGCGATTGTTGAAGTTCGCGTTGCGATTTATTCCAAGTTCGTTGCGATAGTCGAAGTTCGTGTTGCGATTTATTCCAAGTTCGTTGCGATAGTCGAAGTTCGCGTTGCGATTTATTCCAAATTCGTTGCGATAGTCCAAGTTCGCGTTGCGATTTATTCCAAATTCGTGTTGCGATAGTCCAAGTTCGTTGCGATAGTTGAAGTTCGCGTTGCGATTTATTCCAAATTCGTTGCGATGGTCCAAGTTCGCGTTGCGATAGTCGAAGTTCGCGTTGCGATTTATTCCAAGTTCATTGCGATAGTCGAAGTTCGCGTTGCGATTTATTCCAAGTTCGTTGCGATTTATTCCAAGTTCGTTGTGATAGTCGAAGTTCGCGTTGCGATTTATTCTAAATTCGTTGCGATAGTCCAAGTTCGCGTTGCGATTTATTCCAAATTCGTGTTGCGATAGTCCAAGTTCGTTGCGATAGTCGAAGTTCGCGTTACGATTTATTCCAAATTCGTTGCGATAGTCGAAGTTCGCGTTGCGATTTATTCCAAGTTCGCGTCCAAATATTGCATTTGTTTCTTAAGAATTTTCTCTAAAAAGATAGTATTTGCGCAGACGTGTCGAAGACACGTATTACCACGACCACGACCACGACCCAACTCGAGACGGACGGCGGCGGCGGCGACGCGCGAGAGTCCCCCTTGTTCTCTATCACTCAACAAGAAAGTGGGAAAGTGTTGAACTATGTTTTGATATAACAATTTAAGGCAAAATGGTTTTTGGACTTGAATTAAATTTACAATATGTTTTTGGACTTAATTGAATTTATTCAAAGTTTTTTAAAAGGTTTCAAAAATAATTCAAAGTCAATTAAAATTCTGATTTGAGCCAAAAATATTTTAAGGGGTTTCAAGATTGCCCAAGGGGTACAGATTCCCCCCCAGGGGGTACAGATACCCCCCCCAGGGGGTACCGATTCCCCCCTGTATAAAGCTCAAAAACAGAATGTCCAGGGGGTACCGATTCCCCCCCAGGGGGTACCGATTCCCCCCCTGTTCAACAGCCCAACGGTCATAATATTTGAATATTATGAAGGGGTATCGATTCCCTATGAAGGGGTACCGATTCCCCCCATTCTGGGCAGCCTTTTTGAGTAGAAAAATCATTCCCAAACGGCTCCAAAATATCCCCAACGGCTAGATACGACTTAAATAGTGTTTCCAATACTATGTGAGATTGAGCATTACCAAAACTTGTTCCCAATACTATGTGGGATTGAGCCTTAAATAGTGATATTATTTGTGAATTATAATTAATAACTTTAGTATTTGTATGAAACGTATTTGTGGTTCGTTTAGTTTTCATGCAATTCTAATTTATTTTCAATTGATTGTAATTGCACGATAACAATTTTTTTTATTCTCGCGAGTGATACAATTTTTTTGAATGTTTTGCTTAAAATTGCAATAATCGCGATTGATTGTAGATTGACTTTTAATTATGACATATTTAATCGTATAATACTAATGCAATTGGTTGCTGATTCAGTTGTTTTAAGGTGCATGATTGTTAATTGTTTCCTGAATAATCACATAGTATTGGAAACAAGTGTTGGTAATGCTCAATCTCACATAGTATTGGAAACACTATTGGGAATGGTATTTAAGGCTTGGCTTTCCCACTTCCTTGTTGAGTGATAGAGAACAAGGAGGACTATCGCGCGCCGCCGCCGCCGCCGTCCGTCTCGTCTCGGGTGTGGTCGTGGTCGTGGTAATACGTGTCTTCGACACGTCCGCTCGAATACTATATTTTTAGAGAAAATTCTTAAGAAACAAATGTAATACCACCAGTCGTTGCGATTTTGGACTATCGCAGCGAACTTGGACTATCGTAACGCGAACTTAGACTATCGAACGAATTTGTAAATCTCAATGCGATAGTCGAAGTTCGCGTTGCGAATCTAGAAACTGATTTGCGATACCGGAGATCACGTTGCGAATTATCGATCGCGTTGCGAATTATCGATCGTATTGCGATTTAGTTGGTCATTTTGGCAAATCCAAAAAAAATGGTTAAAATCGTATATTGTAAGACATTTTTTGTCACTGAGGTTATTTTCTGTATTTAAAAACGAAATACTAGAAAATACCCCTACATTAAAAAAGTATTTTTTTCTTCTAATTATGATGATACTATAAATTAAAATTATCGAAGGTTTACTAATATTATATGGTTGTTTGAATCATACTTTATTTATTCATTTATTTTTGGTATTTTGGGGTTATAAATAAATTCATCTCTCTGTTGGTGAAAGAGCGAAGAATCACCAAACGGCTATAATTGACGTTACGAAGAAGAAGAAGAGGAAGAGAAAAATGAGACACCTTTGATTTTCTGGGTTTTCGTTTTTCTATATTTTCTCTTCTTCAAATGTTTGATCTTTTGATGTAGACCAATTTGATCTGAATCCTGGGAAAACAGTTGAGTGATTAGAAAGTGATAATCTTCGTGGGGTTTTCCAGTCATGTCTGATGGGTACAATAATTTCAAGAAGACTGATGATCTTTGCGAAAACGTTTGTGGACAGGTAATTGCTTTTTTTCCCCATCATATTTTCTGGGGAAAATATTTGCTGTTTGGTTTTGATTTCTGGGTTTTTGATGATGCTTATCTGGTGGTTTGTTTGAGATTCATTGAAAAATGAGAAAATCTCTTCTAGGGGCCTAATGCTTTTCCCATTTTGTTTCCTTGAATTTATTGATTGGCAATGTATTTGTAAGGATTGGAAAATGAACATGAGAATGGAAAATGATGGATTTTTATGCTAGACGAAGCTCAATTTTATGTGAGGGAGTGAATTTATAAAATTTTAAGGACGGAATTGTAGAATTTAAAATTTCCAGACCGCCCGGCCAGCCCTTTTCTTGTGTATTTTATTTATCACATTGGATGAAGATTGTAAAATGCTTTAATATTGTGCTTAAACCTGGATATCTCTCCACCGCAGGCGTCCCGGGTGGCAGTGACGGTATCGAGATTGCGGTGTATGTTGCGGGGGTCCGATATAAGGACTTACATCTTCCTGTTCGTTGTTGTCCCGCCGATGATTTTCGGCCTATATTTGCATGGACAGAAGATCACTTATTTCCTGAGACCACTATGGGAATCACCTCCTAAACCTTTTAACGAACTCCCTCACTATTATCACGAGAACGTCACGATGGATACTCTCTGCCATCTCCACGGTTGGAAAGTCCGGGACTACCCTCGGCGAGTCTTTGATGCGGTGTTGTTCAGCAATGAGATAGACATACTCACGATTCGTTGGAATGAATTGTATCCGTATGTTACGCAATTCGTGCTTCTTGAGTCCAACTCGACGTTCACTGGCCTACCGAAACCGTTGAGGTTTGCTGGCAGCAGAGAGAAATTTAAATTTATCAAGCCTCGTTTGACGTATGGTACTATTGGTGGGAGATTCAGGAAGGGTGAAAATCCTTTTGTCGAGGAGGCGTATCAGAGAGTTGCATTGGACCAGCTCCTCAGACTCGCAGGTATAGAAGATGATGATTTATTGATAATGTCCGATGTAGATGAGATCCCGAGTGCACATACGATTAATCTATTGAGATGGTGTGATGATATACCATCCATACTTCATCTTCAACTTCGAAACTATTTGTATTCTTTTGAGTATCTCATCGACCACAATAGCTGGAGAGCCTCGGTTCACAGGTACAAGAAGGGGAAAACCAGATACGCTCATTTCCGTCAATCTGATCTCCTCTTAGCAGACGCCGGATGGCATTGTAGCTTCTGCTTTCGATATATTAGTGACTTCATATTCAAGATGAAAGCTTACAGCCACACCGATCGAGTGAGATTCGCTCACTTCTTGAACCCCAAGAGGATTCAGGACATAATATGCCGAGGGGCTAACCTGTTCGACATGATTCCCGAAGAATACACATTCAAAGATATAATCGGGAAGATGGGACCTATCTCTCACTCGTATTCAGCGGTCCATCTTCCTGCGTACCTGTTGAACAATGCCGAGAAATACAAGTATCTTTTACCCGGCAACTGCGTGAGAGAACATGGCTGAGTCCAGAAACAACAGTGTGCTATAAAAGTCTTCGATTACAAGTTTTTCCGGTACCGGAAAAGGGACTGCTATGAACAAATGGAATCTGTGATTGTAAGGGGAAAAACTTCATGTCCTTATTGAAGTCGCATATCCGGTTTCTGGATCCGAAAGAGGTAGATTTATCGGTTTTCCGAAAGCTTTAACAACATCCTAATGGTATGACATATTCTCCAGGATTGCATAAATGAATATAGAATGATAATTTCCCAGATTTTTCCTTGATGGGAACTTTTGTTCTTTTTGGTTCATTTGTTCATATCTTACAGTGTCACTGATATCAACTTGGTTGAATTTGTATCATTTTGCTGCACTGATTTTGGTTCTTCCATTGATAGTAATTCCAAATTATCCACTTACACAGCGTAAAACTCAACACGCGTCTATAAGTTTTTCTACGATCGATGTCGGTATGTCGATCGGATTTTCGATAATGAGTGATGCGTGGACAGGTGGGATTTGTGGCTGTGGATTGAGTCGTCCTCGTGCTTTAACTGCAACCAACCAATCACAAGGTCCCATGGCATCTTTTCTTTTTTGAATAAAAGAATTTGCACTTGGTTTTGGTGGTGGGAATGAGATCCCATTCAATCTTCTGGATCATTTCAGAATCAAGGAAATGAAAAAAATTAGGCATAATACAAAAAATAGCCCCTAACGTTTACCAAAATGATCATTTCAACCCCTATTTTTTTATAGCATTTTGACCCCAACGTTTCTCTTTAGAGGGAAAAACCATCTATAGATTGAAATTATTAATTAATATACGATTAATGCTCTAAAATAGTGGTCTTTTTAACCTAAAATAAAACGTTGACAGTTAAAATGCTCCATAAAAAAAGAATAAGGGTAAAGTGATTATTATGTTTGTTAGGGCATTTTTTGCCCTAAAATGAAACATTGGGGGCCAAAAACAATAGGGGTTAATGTTCGTATTATGCTAAATAATTATGTGGTATTATGAATTTTGACTGAGTTTATCAAATAAAAGTGAGTTAATTACACAACATGTCATTCAACTAAATTGATGAACATTCTAAATTATAGGTCCCATTCTAAATTAGTCTCTAAATTTATAAACATTCTAAATTCATCCTAAAATTATTATCCTTATTTTGAATTAGTCCCTAAACTTTTGAAGGCCCCAAAATCATTCAAATGTTCAGGACAGGAAATAAATCGGGACATTCAAAATTTTGGGGACCAATTCAGAATGAGGGTCATTATTTGGATATGAATCTGGAATGTTCAAAATTTTAGAGACTAGTTTAGAATGGAGTCATAATTTGATGATGAAATTAAAATCTTTAGAAGTTTAAGGACCAATTTAATATGTGAATCATGATTAGATAAGGGAATTACAAAATTACCCCAAAAGAAAATGAATAATAACACTGGCATTGGTTTCAAAAACCATAATTTTTGTGAAAGTGGATCTTTACTTTTCATGGTTAAAAATGTACAATAAAGACAATACCGTAAATTCAATTGAACAACTCATTAATTATACTATTTCCCGTTAAGTGTCGATCTCTCCAAATCGACGAAAAATTATTTGATTTCATCATCTGAACTCCATCGCCAACTGTCCGATGAGCCTGAAACTTCACTATGTTGATCAACTCGTCATTCTTTCGTGATCCACCATTCAGGTTGGTCATCCGTCCACCGGGATTATGCCACATCAGCTCATCCACTTTGCTTTTAATGGCAGATCGAAAAACGATAATTTAAGTACTAAACGCGTAATTTATTCTTAAAAACATTAATTTCACGTCTGAAAGTAAAAGAAGACAGTAGAGTTTTAAAAAAACAAACCCAAGTATCTTACACACACTAAAGGAGTTAAATATAGCTTACAGTACATCAACTGTTAATGCAAAAGTTTGTGTTTCTTACATGTAGCAGAGATTGTAATAATTTCATACAACACCAAATGTTTCTGTTTCTTACAGATCAGAATTCCATGGAAGCCGCATTTCGATCTTTCCTCATAACATGACCTTCAATGCTCGTCATCCCTCTAATCGGGAACCGGACACTTCTCGCTTCACGGATCGTACGTTAAAACCTATAATACGAGCTTCGAGCTGGCAGCAGCGGGATGAAACAAGCGTCAAACAGCCTTGAATGAAGAAATCGAAACCGAGAATGAACGACTCGCTATGTTACCGAAAGCAAAACAATGTTGTCTAGCCCTATGAAGTGCACGACGTAGGAAACAGCTTTGGTGAGACGATAGACGAGCTCGAAACTTGGACTTTTGTCGACGGGGATGCAGATTCTGCATCGTATCAGTTCTTCATAATCGGTCTAACCACGAAAGAATGCTTTCCTGAGAGCCGAATTGTAGATCCTGCAGGCAAAAATCGATAATTGCGGATGAAATCTCGAGGAGGAAAACAAATTGATGTAGGAAAAGAAGCTTACAGCTAGTGGTACATCAGGCGGTGTATCGAACTCCAAGTTCTCGAGCTCATAAAGTCCGCAGGCTACATCATTATTTCCTTTCGTCTCGTTTGTACCATCGGCATTAGAGACTCGGTTCTTTACCGAGCTCGTTAGCAGAAAAGATGAATCCAAAAGCTCATCGCATAGCAGAAAATCATCCAAGCCATCAAAATCAGAATTTTCAGCAGCCTGAGATTCCGTAGCCAGCCATGCCGGATAGATCGAATTATCCTCACATTGAACAGAATCCTTAGGTAGTTGAGATCCTTCTACACCAAATTTTGCTTCCTAATTCATCAAAATGAACTTCCATGAGATCGTTCATTTCTATTATGATGCAAGAGTTTGACATTTCATCATGCCTTGTTATTCGGTTCATTTCAATATCGATAATTTGTTTCATCCGAGCGGAGAACGAGAGGTTCATTTCAATGCACATTGATATGTGTATGCGTGTGTGCATGTGGCAATCGAAGCCGTAAATCATCGATAGTTCGATAAAGACAGATAAATACCTGGTGCATGTTTTCTTCAATGTCATCATATAGCATTGACTTAGATGGCCGAGGTGGATTAGGAGTGATTGTTTTTGGGGTCCTTGGACTGGTGCGAATCATCAAGTTATCTGGTTCTTCAGTTATCGGGCTGTCGTCATTCTTCTCGGTTTGTTTCTGCTGCTGATAGGAAATCTTTGAAACCACATACTCCCCGTCATGCTCATCTTCTTCATCCCCTAGATGATACTGATGCATTACCCAATTTAACTTTTCGGTTTGCACCCTTTCTTCGAACTTTTATAGAGAACCATGAACTTCTTCCACCCCTTATGGACTCCGTTTTCTATAACGGGTTTGGTATTTCCCGTCTTATGCCAACGAACATGCTCCCCATTCGTGTTATCTACATTGTGGATTTTCCGGCGCTTTCGCTGACCAGTTGCATACGCGTTAATCGTCCGATGGAAGAAGTGGGTGCTACTTCCATCCTTCTTTGCACCTGCACAAAATCGAGACGAAGTGATGAGAATCAAACTTATGCACTATCATCCGGTTGAATCCAAATCAAGCTTGCATTATCGACTTTCTATTATCGTAAACTCCGAATTTCTCAAGATTAACCATGAATAGCACCTCGAGAACTCAATGTAATCGAGTATGTCACCTAAAACCTTTGAATAACACGACATCGAATGCATAACACTACATCGAATGCATAACACTAACGATTCTATTTTCAACATAACCCTCTAATCCGACAGCAATGTGAAAAAACAAAAATATTGAATCCAAAACAAGCTGGCCATCATCGTAAACTCCGAATCTTGCAAGATGAACCAAGAACAGCACCTTAAGAATAATGTCATTGAGGAGTATGTAGGCTACTTGCTTGAGTAACATCAAATGCAAAACACTGACAATTCTATATTCAATATGATCATCTAATCCGGTGAATCGAATTCATCCTACATTCGACTGCTATCGAACCTCTGCTATCGAACCTCTCATACCGGTCCCGAAGCAAGTTTCCGGTTTTGTCGAATGTGTAACACCAACAGTTCTATTTCAATACAAGCATCTAATTTGCGAACTCAATTCATCCAACACATGACAGCAATGCAATTATGCAAATACACAGACATATTGAATCCACAAACACATTTACCAGGAAGATTTTCAGGATGAGTGTAGCAAATCCCTTGACATCCCTCGAGAGTCGGGATAAACTCGTCGATAAACGGGTGTTCCTTCGAGTCTCCGACGCCGCATTTAGCCGCTAAATGATCTAAAAGCTCCGCATCGGACGGATCGAACTTCACTCCTATCGGAAGACCAGGCCATCGAGGAAAAACCTACAACAACAAAAAAAGAACAACCCCAAAGACATGACCGACGACATTAACACAAATATGTAACAAAGCCATAAGAAACCCCAAAATTCGACATTCGAACTTACATCACTGTTGTCGATACGGCAATGGCAGTTGGGGCATTCACGATTTGCCCCACAATCAGTGATCTCAATGGAAGATGAGAACGAAGCATTCTTACTTTCTTTGCAATAGCTCTGCTATCAACAAGCCAGCTCCTGAAAATCCCAGAAAATAAGTCAGTTTTTCAACAAAAATCATCACTTCAAATGGGGTGTTTAGTTGAACCCAGAATTAGTTAACTCTACCATCAACGATAGCAAAAGAGATTACCTTAATCTCATGATCGGAGATTATTTAACTGTTTTACCGTTAATTTCTTAAACCTTACCTCGCCATTAACACAAGGAGAAGATGAAGATGAAGAGAGTGTAAGCGAAGCTATTTAAGCTCTTTCTTTGCCTTTTTCGCTACACTGGGCTAAGTAATCGAGCGAGAATAGAGCGGGAAAATTGCTTTGGAACTGGTATGAGAGGTTCGGAAACGGAACCTCAGCTTCGGTGAAACAATAATCTATGGTGAAATTGTTTATCACATCCTCTATTATAAGGATTATATAAATTTAGTACTTTCACTATTAAATAAATTTATTTTTCCTCGTATTAGTAAAATCGAACAGAATAAAATCATTTTTTTATATATTTAATACTTCACTGTTTAAGAATGGTTTTAAAATTAATTTTTTTATATGTAATAACTATAAATAAAAAATAGTGTCACTTTTAAACTATCAGTTTTGGTCTATTTTAGTACCTAAACTATTAATTTTTTTAAAATTCATACCTAAAATTTAGTTTTTGTTTCATTTTAATACTCGTCGTTAAAAGTTT